AATGTACTGTAATTGTTACAGGTAAGCTGACCATGGATTTTAAGACATGTTTCTGATCGAATTGTTTGATGTTAGAAGTATAGTAGAGATCGAAATACGGAGATACTTAATATATCGGGCTCGAGGTAGCGCTCTATACCCCCTTGTCCTTGAAATCCCACTATACAGAATAGAGGGAAGACATGCAAGCAATTCAGCCTTTTTAAATATATTAGTGGAAGAAATCAACCGATGGATCAGGACAGTCTCAGGTCTCAATCTCAGTTCCAGCCTCGATCACTCAATAATAATAATAAAAAATGTTCCATCCGATGTTATTCCACGAGAAGACCATGCCGGGGAATCCGAGGTTTCCCCTCTCTTTCTCCCTCTCTTCATCCAAGTAAGAAGGTTTCGAAAAGTATGACTGTCACCCAAAGACGAGGGACTAGACTGAGTACTGGGGATTCTTAATTTCGTGAAATACCAATGGTGGGGCACGGAGATGAACAAACGGGCTCGACCACACCCTTTTGTGACACCATTGTTATCGATCACACGATATCGGGAGAACGCGGTTCGAGTTAATTAAATGAAATTTACAAGATACGGCGGGGGAAAAGGGGTAATGGTGATGTTTGTCCAAAGGAAACGGTTCCCGCTCGTAGATGCATTGCAACTGCTGCATATCAACAGGAACAAACTGGCATCATCGATCTTGAGCAATTCTTTTGACCAAAGCAACGTTTTCCTGCAGCGGAAGTCACACCTTTTGTTCCTGCTCTCATGCCAGTACTAGTGCAGCGCAGCACAACCCGCACATGCAGGAGCAGAAAAGGTTGCTTTTCCGGTTGAAATGACGCTACCACACCAGGACGGCAGAAACGAGTCAGCTAGCGAGAAAAACGTGGGAGCTTTCTTTGTCAGAGAGTGAAGGGAAAGAAGGGGTAGGATGCCCCTTTCCGGATGGTAAGTTGAGCTTGGGGTTCCTGAACCCATCCTCTAGACCTGCACTACCTTACATAGCTGTCGTCAGCGTGACCTTGAAGAGGTACTATCCAACCGATGAGAGGAGTTATATGTAACGTTGTTTCCCTACATAAATGTGAAGGGGGCTTTTGGTCTTTGCATGTCGTGTTAGAGATGTCAGATATGCCATTGATTTGCAATTAATATCGCATTGAAGGAGTCAATTGCACGGTTAACTTAGGTACTTGTGGGCGATGATACAATATGAAGAGGGGCTAGCATTCTTCTAACCCCAATTGTCAAACCAATATCAACATTCGCAAAGAGCTAAAGCTTCCCTCGAATGTTCTCCCGCCCATGGCGTTCTAGCGGAGAAAGCTTCCACTAAAACGGCGGTTCCTGTAAAACAGAGTTTTTTTAGTCGTTGTAGTTTTTTTTTCGTTCCTCTGCATTGCATATACGCATCCCGCCTAGAGTCTTAACTATCCTCATTGTCCCTTGATGAACTAGGGTACGGCAGTTCAGCTGACAGCTTGGTAGACAACTAGGGGATGTTTGTTCTCACAGGTCATGAATTCTCCACCATACATATTTCTGGAGTCGAGATTGTGAATAAGAAGCTTTCGAAGGTTCTGAGGAATCATGAAGCAGCCATTGATGGGATTGGTCGCATCTGGACCTCGGGTCCCACAAGACGCCCGCATTTTCCAGTAAATTGTGAAAGACGATCCCGAGCGCAATCAGAGCGCAATCAGGAGCAGCTTGAATTCCCTACTATGTATGTAAGGCAGGTGGGCGCGGCTTGGATAAAAGAGGATGTGATTTTCATGAATTCAATGGCCAATAGACTTTGCGATACGGGGGGGACCTCAAAATTGTATCCCCACCATCTGGACCATATGCCATGCAGAAGCAACAGGACATATCATCAATTTGTGTGTGTTCCTGCCTGCGCTGCATGTCATGCTTTCGTTTCATTTTTTTTCTTCTTCATTTTTTCTTCTTCTGCTTCCCATTCTGCCGTCACGAGATATACGCTTGGTAATATCGACAGGGCAGCGGAAGGAGGGACAAGTACCGAGCGAAAGCTAGGGAATACGCACTGGCCTATACAATAATTGGTTCCTGGTAGGTTTGGGTCGCTCGCTCGTATGGAGAAATGCAAGATGCATGGCCCGGTTAGCTAGCTTCAATTGTATAACATAAATTTTAAACACGAGGCCGAGGGCACCGCTTGAAATTATAATATCGAAATAGCCAGAAATTAGGAGTATGTAATATAAGATCGGAGCTGTCACGATGCACAAAAGAAGTGGGTGCCGTTAAAAGGAGGAGGAGGGGTAGTCATGACAAGCCTGCAAGAAGACGGCAATATAGAATACCAAGACGTTCGTCTGTCTAGATTTATATAAATCGGTGGGCCCGGGTACCTGAAGCGTGACATGCTATCGTAGGTATGTCTGTCGGTGTAGGACTGGGACCCATCTGCACCTCTTTTGTTTGTGTCCACTCGACTCGAGAACTCGCAGATAGCAAACACTCATTAATATTCCTCTCCTTTCTCCATCCATCTTTGAGGTTGAATCAGCGGACTCTTGATTGTTTTGTGACTAACGGGTTTCCGGCTTGTTGGCTACCCATAAGGCTGGCTTTATAGGTTGGTAGGGCTTGGAGGGTTCGAGTCTACCGCCATAGATAGCTTAGCAGATTGGAAAGAGGACACTACTGACGACACTAACGAACAGCTGGGACCGACGGACGGAACGAAGACGAAAAAGGAGGGAAAGTCAAATAAAAGGAAGTCTGGTGACATCTTCTTTGATGCTTGGTACAGACATACATTGCATATTATCTCGGACGTTGGATTTAATTCAGGGTCCACGCCCGGAGCTTTTGCCATCATCAATATCAAGCTTAAGCTTCTCACCACCAAACCCAACTTCAACTTCAACTTCAACCTCGGACGTACCCCCATCGGCATTAAATTTGCCGTTGGAAAAATCTGCTCTGCAGAATCATCGAACATTCCATTGCTCCTACCGAAGAAACATCCAGGGCGGGCGCTAATTCTGGATGGGGGCATTCTCCGCCACCTTCCAGCTGCAAAACAAGACGACCCGAGTGAAGCATCTCCTGCTGCGATTGGCCCATCGCTGATATCATCTGCTGCTTGCGACTACTGGAAGTAGAACTTTGCAGACTTGCAAACATCTGACGCCCGCCCGTCCCAGGAAGACGATTCGATTCGAAGGCCAAGGGATAGAGGAAGAGAAGAAAAAAAAACTTCCCGACGTCTCCCTCAAACATACATATACATACTCTGACCTACGGTCGTACATATGCATTGCTGTCCGCTTTGTTACTTCTTATATACGGACTAGTCAGCATTCCGCAAAGCAAGAAACCCCAAACCTGGGTAGCCTGAAAAAACCGTGACAATCATCAGCTAGATAGGGATAGATACAGGTATATTCGTATCTGTGATATATCATACTGTCGTGCTATAATATACCTGGTAAGCTCCCCCAGCTCCCCTCGCTCGCTCGGTTTCCTTCGCTCGAGCCTTCTCTCTACTCCCCACAGCCCCCCATACCGATTCTGACCAACGGAAAGGTCCATTCTCTCTTTTTTCTTTCTATTTGATTGTGACAGGTCACTCCTTCGAGAATTATTATTTTTTTACCTTTCTCGCTCCCACGTTTTTACCGATTTTTATTTTATATTTTATTTTATTTTATTTTATTTTATCTATTTTATTTTATTTTAATTTTTCTTTTCAGCAAATCGGGCAAAAGATCCTTAGTCTGCTGGATACTTACTTACATTGTCGATGTCCCGCTTCCATTAGTAATTAAATGTGCCGCCTCTGCTGATTCGATTCTTTTTCTGCCTCGGATTCGAACCTCTTCCCGGCCCAATCGATATCTTTATTTTCGACATTGCATACACCCTCGTTCTATTGCGATTTTTAACTGGCTTATATCCTTTCTACAGTCTGCGGCGACAATCGACGTTTCACAGGGGTTGGTGGTTTACCGACTCTTCCTTCGCATTGCTCTAATTCGGTTCCGACCTCAGCGATCAACTTGGCTACACCGTAGCGACTAAATATCTAATAGCGGCTCTACATAAATTACACAACAGGAATACCGCCGGGTGGTATTTCGCTGGCGGTTAAACTGATTCGACTACCGTTCCACTTCGAGATCTAATTGAACTTGAACTTGAACTTGAATTTGAAGATATCTCTTTAATATCCACACTCGTCCGCCAGCCAGTTCCCGCGCGTTGCCTTTTGGATTTCTCGCCAGGGGCCAAGCTGGTTCCGACCATTTATCGCAAGCACATTTTTGATACTCTCTCGACACCGTCTCTTTTTCTCTTTTCTTTCTTTCTTTTTTCTTTCTGAAATCGTTTACCTCTCGACCGTTTAAAAAAAGACCGACATCATCAATTTTCAAATCCTTGGTCCCGACCTGGTCTTGAATAGTTAATTTTCTTGGTGGCTTTTTTTGCATCTGCAGCATTCCCAGGAGACAGCACCGAACCCTAGCTAAAACACGCAGCGCAGTACTGGGCACCATTTTATCCCAAATAACTCCAACCGCTTAACACCCACGCTACTGCAGCACAGCGAAATAAGGGATTCGATATAGCCAGTGCAGCCAACATAGTCCCGCCGCTCCGAGGGCTCTGAAGATTCTCTACCTGTTTGAGGCATAATAAAGGATAGGAAACGAAAGCGAGGATCGAGCTTTAGCAGGAGAGGATACCACGGATAAAAATCCCAAAGTCGAAACGCACAGGGGCGGCGGATCAAGAGGAAGGCCAGCCTGCGAGCCAGCGAAAGGGGACGAGAAAGAAAGACAAAAAAAAGAAATATTTGGGGGAACAGGGAAACAGGCAAATAAGAAAAATTCACTTGAAGGTTTCTGGTTTAGCGGAAGTCGAGCCAAGCTGGGGATAGTTTAGCACGAATCCGTTCGTTCGTCAGGTCAAGCCTCCATAGGACAGTCCAGGTATATATTGGCTGCGAGCCCGGATCCGCCAAAATGTTGCTCTCCGCCCCCATGGCCACAAATGCACATCGCCTGAAGCCGGCAGGTTCGACGTCGGCATCAGCACCCTCAAAAGCTGCACTGGCGGCATTACGACCTTCGACGGCGACGGGCGCTCCGCCGTCCTCGTCATTTAATCCTCGACGGACCGCTCACTCCCCAACCCCTTCCAATGGATCCAACATCACCACATCTCCTTCCACTGCTTCCTTACAATCTCTTGGACAGCCCATTCCCACTCCGTCCGCCTATACCCTATCCGGCCTGAAGTCGAGGTTATCAACACGGCAGAAGTCCAAGGGGAAGCGATCCTTTACTTCGTCGCATGCACAAACCCGTCCAGATACAAGTTTATCACCACCTCCTAAAGCGCCTTCTGTCAATCTCATGCCAACAGCAAATGGAAAACCCGCACAGCCAATCCTTAAGACTCAAAAATCAGTAGATAGCGCGATGCTCTTTACCGCATCAGGGAATAATAATGGTCCTATCAAAGCCTTCTCGCCAGCACCGACCAATGGTACCTCTACCCCTGTGCCGACAGCAACAGCTCCAACTGCAGCAGCTCACCCGCCAAGCATGTACGACACAGTCCACGAGATCGCTGAGAAGAGAATAAACACCCTGGACTATCTGCGACGAGCGTATGTTTTAATTTTTGCAAACCAATTGTCTTTCCGCCCAACAAAATCAACTAACTTTGTATTTGATATTAGGCACGAAGGAAGGGTGTTCTGGTACAACACCGTCCAGTTCACAAGAGAAGACCTACCCCGAAGAGTACAACCCGACCAACGAAAACTATCGAAAAGGGCGGCTACATTTTTTGTCCTTGGCCAATCGATACCTTCTGTTCTAGACCTTGCAACATCCAACCCAATTGACTACCTGAAAGCCTTAAATTCGTTGTTAGCAGAATTTGATGCTTACCAAGCAACACATGATGGAACATCCACTTCGTCAGCAGCAAAAGGGATGGGAAGAGTAAAACTATGGAGTACGAGGAACTCAGCGCAAAAAGTACGGAGAAGTAGTTCGGCGGCTCAGGGTGGTATTGACGGTCTATATCACTTCACAGCAATGGATGCCCTGGAGAAAGCAAGAACTAACGGGTTTATGCATCACAACCCGCTACCGTTCCCAAACGGTGGACATTCTTCATCAAACAACGATGACCCGAATGGGGATGATTTTTCGTATTTGGTGCACTCAAGTTTACCGTTCGAGCCGGATTATTACGAAACATTTGCGACGCTGTGCGACGTTTTGATCGATGCATACTCAAGGGTCCTGACGCTGATAAACTCGCCAACGGCGTGCAGCGTAGGAGTCGGCGATAGTTTCATCAAAGCTGACGCAAAGATCCGGAAAACGGTGCTATCAACCGTAGTACGAGAATTCGAAGATGCCAGTAGAACAAGCATCAAGACCGAAATTGTGAGTTTAGCGAAAAACGTACTTGGGAGTTTGGTATAAGTTATCCGTTTAGGCAAAGAGCTAGTTTGGGTTACAAGGTCTTATTTATTTCTCTTGTTCTTTCGATACATTTCTGGCAACCAGCACCAGCACCAGCATCATACCATTTTTATTCATCTGGGTTTCCCTTTTCTTTGCAACCAGTACTGGGGGTTTCCTTGCACACTCATTCATTACATTGGAGCGTTTTGGCGTTTTACCTGTTCCCCAGATCTTTTTTTTTTCATTTTCATTTTCATTTTCATTTTCATTTTCATTTTCATTTTAGCTGCGTCATCATATTTCTATTACGACGGTACGATCAACTCAACATGGCTTTGTTCCCTTCTACCAAGCTGTATAACCCTTTTATTATGTGCTCAGCGCAGGTGGGCGAGGATATTAGGTTGATTCCTCCTGCAAGCCTGGCTGACACTCCCCCGAATTTCTGACGCTCCTTATTACCCTTGTTCCTGTTACCCTTTTTTTTTCCCCCTTTCATCGAAGGCACTATATATAGACCTCCTTTGATTATACCTTTCCCCTAGTGTTCATATGTACTTGTTGGAAATAATGGATCGGAAGATGGAGGGACCAAACTTTTTCTTTGTATATAGTCCAGTAGTAGCAATTGGTCTTCGTACGTCCGTGCAGTGCATTGTCGGCCTTACATTTACCATTTCTACAAAAATACTAGCTATTTAATTCCTCTATTACATCCCCTTCTCATACCATGGTTCTCTTTTGGTATACTATAGATCTTAATGTTATGCATATATCCGGATATTCTCATTAATGGATCAAGTTGTCACGAAATTTATATCCCAATATTTTCGATATTTTGTTCGAGAAATCAATTGTATACGCATATATGATACAACATCTAAAAATATAAACACTGAGGAACCAAAACCTCTTCTCCTCTATTCGCCCTCCAATAGCTACACCGGAAGATAGAAACCATTCAATTAAAATTCCGGCATGGATACCTATAATCCCACTCGCGTCAGTTAGAACCCCTCTCAATAGTTCCTCGGAAACAACTAACTTATCCGGGAATCCCGTCCACGCACCCGTCTGCTGTATCCATGATACCGGCCTTCCCGGCAGCGGGGGTAATCCATCCTTCATCAACAATCCCTCATTCCCTAATTTCTTCATAACCTCGACCAAATTCTGACTCCCTTCCTTAATCTCGACTAACTGCTTCTCACCGGCCGCGCCATCCGCAATTCTTGGGATGGCCGCGGTACCCAATAATAGCATACCAGCCTGGTCGGATTGTGTTACGACCGAGAGTTGGGGGTATCCACGACGGTTATCGCGTTTCCAGTACGGATTGTCGGCAATGTCGCCGGAAGGGATGGTGACGGGGTCGTGGTAGGTTGGTTGTGGGAGGGTACCCGGGAGTGGATTACGGTATTGAGCTACATATGGGATACCGGTGGAACGGTTCGGATCGACGGCGAAGAAGCGGCGGATACGTTCCCAGATACCGTGGGATTTGAGGGTGTATTTCTAATGCAAAGTTGTTTAGTATGATGAGCGATTGAGCGGGGTTTATGGGTGGGAGACGTACGGTGCCAAGCGTCCTAAGACCGCCTGGGGGAACGGACATGGTGGCAGTGTGTCCTCGAGGAGCGGTGAGGGGGGCGAGGTTTTGGTGAGGGATGGTTTGCGGGAGGGTTTTGAGGTTTCTAGATTTCGAGGTCGGAGTTGAGGTTTGGAATCGGAAGACGTCAATTGGCTAATTCGGGGCGGCTCTCAACACAAACACCGTGTAAATTACAACATCCTCAACTTCACCAGGTAGCCTTGGAGCATTTGGATCTCTTGCTTCATTGATCCGATCAAGCGGGTATAGGATATTATTTTGTTTAATTGTTCTGAAGAAGCATGATACTTCTTTAAATCACGGCTTCAGAGACACCTGTCTTCTTTGACTTCCAATTGCTCGATGAGGATCGAATGTTCCATGCATTACTAATTCAGGATTTGGTATAAATATTGGAACCTCAAACTTCGATAACCTGGGTGGTGTCTCCAGGATCAAAGCTACTAAACCCTCAAAAACTCACCTTCGAAGATATCTCACTCCCTTATTTTTTTTTCATTATTGCCATTATTGCCTAAGCTCAAAGTGTGGATAAAAGAAAAGGTACCACAAACAAAAGGTCTCAAAATTCAATACGGGGGAAGGATACCACGAATTCAATAATATATCAAAATGCCACCCCACGCATCACCCTCCGACATCCCCACCCCCCAAACGGCCTTCAAAGCATCTTCCCATGCATCTGATGGAAAAACTCACATCCTACTCGCAGCAACTGGTTCGGTAGCCTCCATCAAAATCCCACTAATCCTTTCCGCCCTTTCCAAATACTCAAACATCTCCATCCGCCTTGTCTTCACAACATCATCTCTACTATTCATCCCACCCCTCGTCGAACTATTAAACATCCCAAACGTAGATGGAATCCATCTAGACCATCATGAATGGCCTAGAGGACTATCTTCAAACCCTGCCGAAACTCTAGATCGCACGGCTCAAGAAATTGATCAAGAAACAGCCATATGGGCCAAAATCGGTGATCCGATTCTTCACATCGAACTCAGAAGATGGGCGGATATATTACTTATCGCACCGTTATCCGCAAATAGTCTGGCAAAGATCGTGGGCGGGTTTAGTGATAACTTGCTTTTATCGGTTGTTAGAGCATGGGATACGAATAAACCGATTGCAGTGGCGCCTGCTATGAATACTCTTATGTGGGAACATCCGGTCACGACTAGTCAGATTAAGGTGCTAGAAACGGAATGGAGTTGGTTTAGGGTGCTGAGGCCGGTGGAGAAGTTGTTGGCTTGTGGGGATAGTGGGAGTGGGGCTATGAAGGAGTGGAGTACTATTGTTTCATGGGTAGTGGAGGAGATGAAGTTGAAGCTGGAGGGAGGGGAGGTGGAGAATAGTTGAAACTGTAGATTTGTTTCATCGGGGATAATATCGATATTATATGGTATTTTCTGTGATATCGATTTGGGGGTCGAGGTTGGAAGGCGGGTTGCAGTGTATTTAGCTTTTAAGGTTGACAAAAGTCTTTCCTATATGATATACATATACTCAATATAGATGACTAAATGACTATATGTATGAGCGTCTATTATGAAAGCTCGAAAGTTTATGTACATAAAGTATTTACCAAAAAATATAATACACATCCTACAATAGGTGTTACGTAACTCTAACTTTGTGAAGCTCGGGTGCAGAGTTAGATCTCCAGGAAAATACCATATTGACAGTGAGTTGAAGACCCTAAGCCGCTAGAATGACAGAATTTTCCTTGATATGAGCAGTTTCATTGGATGGATCCCTCTGGTAGTAGTCAAGAAGATATTCGGCTGTCAATCCGCCCCCAACCATAACTCCACCAACCATCCAGCTGTTCCACTTGAACCACTGCCAACATTCTTTCTCATCCTTCAAATTCGCCCTCCAGATCATCCAGCCGTTGGCGGCTCCTGCGCCGAACACGCTCCATGCATAGTATATAGGGCCTAGTCCGGCGAAATAACCAGCTCCTGCAAGTAGCCCAACTTGTAGGACGTTTAGAGCCGACATAATCGGTTTTGTAATTTCTGGGTGTCGAACCACGATTCCCTTAACCCCTGCCTTAACGTCATCTCGTAGGTCCTGATGAGCGTATATGATGTCGTATAGAACAGTCCAAAAAACATTGGCTCCGTATAAACACCCAGCAGCAGCCAATGCCATTGATCCATCAACTAACGACACCCCCATAGCGGGAAACCCGAGTAGAGCGCCCCAGCTGAATGCCAGCCCTAAGACGAATTGAGGATAATGTGTGACTCTCTTTGCTAGAGGATAGGCGATAACCAAAAAAATGCTCGGGATGCCGGCGAGAATAGCCTCGACAGGGAACTGAAGTAGAATGCCAAAGCCCGCCATGCACTGAGCCCCTGCGAACCAAAATGCTTGTGTCGGTGAAACAGCGCCGCGAGCAATTGGCCTATGCCGTGTTCTGGAGACATGCTTGTCGAATTTTCTATCCCAAAAGTCGTTAATCGTACAACCTGCACTTCGCATGACAAAGGCTCCGGATCCAAATAGTAAAATCGTCGACGCCGCAGCAATTGGTGGCGAAATCGGTGTAGCCATTGTAGCGGCCATCAAAGTCGACCAGACGCATGGGTAGAAGAGGTATAGGCCTCCGTATGGTTTCTCCAAACGAATGAGTTCAGCATACGGTACCACCTTCGCGGGAAGGTATGACAGAATACCGGTTGTGGGCGGCTCGTACGGCGCAGGAGTATCATCCCCAATGACTGCAGCTGTCGTAGCGCTATCGACTAGACGAACATTTCCGGCGCCAGCTGTCGCCAGTTTTCGATTCCAACATGTGGAATTTGATATTGGGACGAGGGAAGAACCTGTGCTCGGTTTCCTACCACCTCGTGCTAGTGGTGCAAGGTTTGAACTGACATGTCGACAAGACAATTGTCGAACTACGGAGCGCGGCAGAAGATGTGGCCGCAGAGGTAACATTCTTTCTGGTTATTGCACGGTCTGGGTGCCGACCTGGTGCTGCCGCCGCATGAACCTTGAAATAGATATCTTGATGTTGTTTGCTTTTTGGTGTTGTTGCGGTGGACGAAACCCTGTCAAAGGCCGAAGCAGAGACATAACGCGGGTTTCGCTTGACCAACCTTCCCATCTCTCGCCTCATCACCAACCTTCTCATCATCGTATTTAGTTGAATGCTATCGACACTTGTCTTTAAGAGAAATTGCAGTTACTGGGAACGAACCCGAATCTTCGACAATCAACTTGAAATCTAGAACCTACTAGCCGTTTCTATATCTGGACTGCGACTGCTCGCGGAAACCATAACCGAACTATTCGCCAATAGGTTTCGAGAATCGCGCCTTGACACAGTAACGAACCTTATGGTGTCTCGATACACCACTGATTGGAGCTGAGGGATACATCATGGCGCCTCGACAAGAGGCGGCACCTTTTGTGCCATTAAGTCCGACCATCAACATACCCCTGTTGGTTTCCAGTACACCGAATTTCAAATCCGTACAAAGAATCGATGCTCGTCGAATAAACCCTACCAGTATCGAATCCTTACAGGCTATGATTCATGAACATGTGGTTCTTAGAGGGATACCGATTGTTATTGAAAATTGGCATTTGAGGAGTGACTGGCCGAAATGGATGTTTTCGGTGGATTGGTTAAAGTCGAACCATGGTGCTGATCGTATGTTATCTTCATCTATGTTCCTTAAGACCTCTATTTCTAACATTGGGAACTTTTATGGCTCCTGTAGAGGTTAACGTCAGAGACATACCGAACAAGACCGAAATTCCTATGACGCTGGGTCATTACTTAAACAACTTAGCGAAATTAACTTCTAAGTTCACACCGAGCAACTACGATGGCCGACAACAGAGACTATACGGAAAAGATCTTGATTGTCCACCAGTTTGGAGATCTGGACTTGCGAATATTATCCCAGAATCCACGTTCTACCTATCCACCCGTGCCGACCTTATGTCTTCCCTACCAAAAGAAGCTCGAGCCGAGAATATGATGTGCTACGTCGGACATGAGGGCACATACACACCTGCGCATATGGAAATGTGCGCTACTCTTGGTCAGAATATCATGGTTGCAGCCTCCCAGGAAGGTCCAAATAGTGAGAAGGGAAGCAGTTTATGGTTTATGACACAAATGGCCGACAGGGATGCGGTTGCGGAGTATTGGACTGGTACGCTAGGTCATGATCTTTCGATCGAAGCGCATTTCGCCAGCATAGAGGATCTACGGGCTGCGCCATTCACGGTATTTGTTTTGGAACAGAAAGTAGGAGACTACGTGCTTGTTCCTCCTCTGGCGCCCCATCAGGTCTGGAACAGAGGGACGACCACTGTTAAGGCTGCATGGAACAGGGTAACTGTGGATACTTTAGAGCACGCTCTTCGAGAAGCGCTGCCGAAAATTCGCTTGGTCTGTCGGGATGAGCAGTATAAAACCAAAGCGATCGTATATGATACCCTCAAGAACTATACCAAAGCTTTGACGAGAAATGACGAAGCTGAGTTGAAGCTATTTCCACCTACTATAAAAGATGATTTCATTAGGCTTTACAACCTCTTCACAAGCATCTTGATGAATGAGTGCTTCTCGCCGTTATTGCCGAAGGAAAAGAAGGTCGACGTGATTCCGAACGAGTATAACATCACTTGTTCATTTTGTCGAGGTAATATTTTCAATCGGTTCCTCTCGTGCAAGCGCTGTCCTCCATCCATGCAGGAACTTGAGGATGACCCTTACGATATTTGCATGGAGTGCTACGCTAGGGGGAGAAGTTGCTTTTGTGTTAGCGGGCTTTCGTGGGTCGAACAGCACCCCTGGGTTGATCTTCTTACAAATCACGAGAAGTTCAGGGAAATGGTGATTAGAATCTTGATAGAGAAAGAGAAAGAAACCGAAGTGCCCGAACAAATTGCCGAGCCACCACGGTTCCCTGACGCTCTTGCGAATATGAGCAAGGAGAGGAAGGGTTTGGCACGAGTTTGTCAAGAAGCCCTCCAAACGAGGCCCTATCTTGATCCAAATACTATTGATGAACTAGACGATGAGAAGGAGATAGCTAAAAAGAAGAGGGAGGGGAAACTGCTCAATTGTCACACGTGTGGTTATCGACACCCAAACTGGAAGGCAATGCTATGCACAAACAAGGACTGCGGCAAGGCCTACTGTTTTGGAAACCTGTGGCGAGCGTATGATATGGACCCTTTCGATGATTGTTTGGCAAAACACCATTGGAAGTGTCCCGTATGCTTAGGCTTCTGCGCCTGTGGCAGATGTCGTAGGAGACCAAATTATACCCCGTACACTCCTAAAGGCACGATTTTAGGTGCTACTACGAAGCATGTTGCCGACGTTCGGAGTATAGAAAGTTTAGTGGACTTCAGTAAAGGGAATGTTGGGTGGTTGCAAAATGGTGTAAGCGGCGGTAAGCCTTCGCAAGATGATGGGCATGGCGAGAATGGCGATGCTATGTCGAAATGGGGCCCTACGTTTGGAGCTACGGATGGTGCGGAACCAGACACAGCTGATCAAGGGGAGGACCCTGTGTTCCCTGCGGAATTCAATGATCGTAATATTGTTGCCACGCCTGCTGGGTATAAAGCACACTTCAGCGCAGCCGGTCTCGATGTTGCTTCGATTCCTATTGATCCCGCGCTTAGGATTTCCAGTTATATGGATTCCTTCAGCTCCTCTAACAGAGAGCAAAACGGAGATTATCTTAGGCAATTTGAGAATCCTCCTGATATTCCAATTTCCCCTCGGAGATTTAGTAGACCAGAGCGCTCTGGTATCACCCCTCTACATAGTGACGGTATTGAGTCCGCGCAACGACATGAAGGTGAGTTGATTCTTTTGCCCGTTACACCTGGTTTTGATATCTAATCCAGCTCTTCCTAGTCCATGAACCCAACATTAACCCTGCACTCATCGACGGCTCGGCGTCTGCGCAAGAATATGGGCACCAAAATAATGGAGCACACGAATACCAATCATGGGGAGGGCAGCCCCAAGATGCCCCAACACCAGGTCTTTCAATATTGGAGAAAGACCCGCTAGCATTTCTTGCGGCCGCCGGTTTGCGACATTCTCAACAGCAAGAACAGGGGCTGGATGATTACGGTAACCCTTATCATGACTCGTACCACCACTATGGAGAGCAAGTAATTCATCCAACTGAAACATTTGGTGGATCCGATGATGAACAAGACGCACCGAGTGAGCCTTACGGCCTGACAGGAGTATTCCATCATTATCAACCTGACATTGACCCGTCCTTAGAGGGGGAGAAAGGGAAGGGTAAATCCAAAAAGCAAAGCTTAAGTAAGAAAGAACGAAGAGAGAGGGTACAGGGAGACCTTGAATATGAAACGGTCGAAAAGGGAACAGTCGCGGATTGGGTTCTTGATAGAACTAAAAAGGGAAAGAAGAGAAAGGGAACACTTATAGTGAGGCTGAAGATCTCTCCGGAGGCTTGGAGACGGCATGATTCCAAAATCGCTAAAGAGAAGGAGGAGAAGGCGCAAAAGTTGGCTGCGAAACTTGGTTTCGACGATGTTGGAACAGATTTGACGCCCGATCCGAAACGGCGGCGTATAGATGGGGTAGCGGGTTCGCCTGCCTCTAAGAAGAAAGGAGGACGACCGCCAGGGTCACGCAAGATTTACGCTGATCTTTCGGGGGATGAGGCGGATGGCCGACGGCTGAATGAATTGCTAAGTGACGAGGAACAAGAGGTTATGCCGAAGAAGTCTAGGAGAAGTACTCGAACCGGAGAGCTGGTGGACGGCCTCACGTTCGAACCAACTCGGAAAACACCTCTGAGTAAATCGTCACGGCTGAAGGGAAGCACCTTGACGCCATTATCCTCCAATTCGAGGAATAAAGCTATCCACTCGCCTGTCGCTTCTGACGGCGATGACGACGATGACGGTTCTGTTGATGCAGGCCCCGCTCTCATGGGTACTGCAGCTTCGCAGAAACAACCCGCAAAGAGCGGAGCTGAATTATTAGGGTATAACCAAGCGGAAATTGACAAGGCCCTGCGTGATGCGAAGCGTATGGCCCTCGCAGCGGCAGAAGGACGAAGTCCCCCTCCACTGTCGGTTTATAGCTCGGAAGCTCAGAGCCGCGCGGGAAGCGAGGATGAGGATGAACCCGAATCTGAGCCCCCGTTCCAGGTTGCTATTGGGCTGAGAAAACCAGAAAGAAATGAGAGTGCGTCCGAAGATGAAGGTTCGATGTCACCAGTTGTTGGAGATATTCGCATTCCGCCTGCAGCGCGAAACATTGTTCCCAAAACACCAACTGGCCCAAACCGCAAGCCTGGGCCCCGACCTTCTAGACCGCTCTCTAAGCGTGGCCGTCCAGGCCGCCCTAAGAAAGCAGATGGCGACTATGTTGCACCTAGAACAGCTAAGGCTTCATCCGGTAATGGGTTTACGCCGATCAACAATCGGACACCAGCGGCTCCTGTAGGCTCTGCCAAACGAGGGCGTCCTCGAAGAGATTCTGCCGCCAATGGAAATGCTTCGCCCGATGTTAATTCGACCCCTGCTGCTTCCCCACCTGCGAAACGTCCTCGACGAGAGCCAGGTACCCTAAACGAACCGACACCTGTCGATACTACCCCTAAGGGTCGTGGTCGGCCAAGAAAGAGCCTATTGACACCGACGGAGCCCGTGGCTAGGGCTGCGTCACCGGCTCCTTCGCCTGCGAAGGCTTCGTCAACTAAGAATTCGACTCCAAAGAAAAAACCTGGCCGGCCCACACGATCTTCTCTTAGTGGAATCGATACTACCGCATTGAAATCTGCCAAATCAACCCCATTTGTACCAATCTTTAATCCCGCAGGGTTAGACGCATCTAGGAGCCGCAATGTTATAGAATTGATGAGGCACTCCCCACCTCCTGCTGGAGACGATGAGGATGACGACTGGCTTTAAAGTCGCAGCCCTCGAATTCTTGTTTTTAGTTGATATTATCTCTCAAGGGGTCTTGTAAAATTTGCTTCGATGACCACAGTTAATGAATGTGGCTTAATATGCTCTAATTCTGCGAGTTGTCTTGGTTCATTTAATATCATTGCAAGGACGGTGTTTTTATTTTTTATTTCATTTATTAATATGATGGGGATGCATATGGCGAATATTCTTTTTTTGTAGCTAAGAGATACCATTGTTGGAGCTCCCACATTGCTAGGGGATCCTAAACTCGCTGTTTTTGAAAAAGAAAATTTAGGATACTATGAATTATCTCCACGAGGCTTTCATCTTGATGTTCATCTAGTAAAAGTATTTCAAACCAGGCGCAGGAGTATTCTCGAAGCCAGAACTGCCTAGCGCACGAGATGACTAAGGTGTGTCATTTTGTGTGTTGTGTCGATGCGGCAGACAGCATTCCTTCTTGAATGCGGCGCACGCAAATCAATTTCTTGTTTAGCGACAAACAATCCAAGACTCACAAAGAACGTTACCTCTGACTTCCTTCCTTCCAACAAGCAAGCAAGCTCCATCATCAACCACTCCGTAACATCAACCCTTCGACCATAGCGATCGCAAGCCTAAAGGCTTAGCTGCTTCCATATCTAGCGTTTACCATCCGTTATTTAGCTCCAATTGAACTTGAGTAACGATACAAATACCCCGCTGCAACGTTAGATTCAACCCCACCTCAACGCCCCTCCTTGCTTCAAGATGGTTGTCGCCGACGAGTACCCGCCGGCCCTGGCCAAATTCCTCAAATCAGTCACTTCTGTAAAAGCAGATGATGCAACTGAGATCCTTACAGGGTAGATAAAACAACCTGTCCTACTTTACGATCCACCATCAACATGCATACTGACCAAGCTTCCATCATCAGTCTTCTCAAGCGACGAGAGATCAAATCCAGCCGAAACGTCGCCAAGGCCGTCACAAAGCTTCTCTTACGCTTTGTATCACAAAACCGACACACTAAGCTCAGCGAATCTCAAGGACTCATTAAGGATGTCAAGGACCTTGGGAAAACCATAATCGCAGCTCAACCACGGGAGCTAGTCATTGGAAATATTGTCCGACGAGTCCTGGGTATCATTCGCGAAGAGTGTCATGATAGCAATCCCCTCTTGGGCTTTGCGGATCTTCCTCTCGGAGGCAGACTCTCGAGAGCCAGTAGCATTGGTGATGAGAGTGCTGACCTGGGTAGTAACCCAGGCTCTGGAACCGCAACACCATATTCGGGACGTCCGTTTTCGCGGGATGGCGGCGAGGAAGATATCGATGCGATGTCGCGAAGGAAGTCAAAGGCTTATATTCCTCCCAATCCCAGGGATTTGACTCGTCAGGGATCAATTGCACTTCCGAATCCAAACTTCGGAGAGAATAATCTTCAACATGCATTGTTTTTCCTCCTACGACTCCAACCCGAGGAGCTGCCTAATGACTCGCCAGGACTGAAGCCTCAGTCGAAAGAGCCATTCCAGGATAAGGACATTCGAGGAGATGTTATTGAGGGTATCAAAGAACTTATGGACGAATTGGAGCTGGTCGACGAGCAAGTTGCGGCACACAGCGAAACCCATATCCATGCTAATGAAATTGTTATGGTTCTCGGATCGTCCCCTACGTTGCAAGCGTTCTTGATGAAAGCTGCCGTCAAGCGAAAGTTCACCGTCGTCATGATCGAGGCGTATCCAAACGACTCTCGTGCGACACAGGACGTCTTGAAGGCTCCATCGAAGTTCACGACACCCACTGGTCTAAAACAAATGGGCAAGAACGCTGCAAAGGATGAGCCTCTCACGACGGCTGAGATGAAAGCGACGTTGACGAGCGTTGGTGTTGAAACGATTTTGATCCCAGACTCGGCTGTTCCAGCTGTCATGTCCCGAGTCAACAAGGTTCTCATGGGAACTCATGTCATCCTCAGAAATGGATCGATGATCACAACCGCAGGAGCAAGAACTGTGGCTAGATGTGCACAAGAGCACTCGGTTCCGGTTGTTGTTGTCAGCGGAGTTTACAAACTGTCGCCATTATATCCGTTTGATCCAGATTCGATGCTTGAAACCGGTGAAAGTAGCACTGTCATCGGTTGGGCGGATAGCGAGATGGTTGGTAACGCCGAGATTATCAATCCAACGATGGATTTCGTTCCAGGGGAACTTGTAGATCATTATATCACCAATGTGTAAGTTGGACACTTTCCTGGTATTTCGGTCCCTGAATGGACTAGTTGACTAATTGGACGTTTTTTTTTAGTGGCGGATACACACCACAGAACCTGTACAAGCTTGTTGAAGAGCAGTATGGGAATGCTAATGACACTTTGGAGTAGTTGAAGCTCATTGACCGAACTGGTCTTGTTCCCAGGACTAGACCAACTTTCCGAGGAAAAGCCTTGGAGATCCTCCTTTACACTACTACGACCCTAATAACTTGTAATGATACCCTTCATGTAACAATGCTTGTTTGTTTGTTTTACGAACTGATATCTATTTTGTCACAACTTTCAATGCAAGGCTGTGATACATCTCTGACCCCTGCTGGCCTTTCGTAAAGGTCCTCAGCCACTACACTTCCAAACTTGTTTTACATTTATGTTTGCTTCATCAATCTTCCCTACTAGCTGCTGTCTTTTTTTGAGTTTCATTGCACGGCGTTCAAAAAGTCTTTGGGCATATATGCGCATATGAGATGATGGTATGCATGTGTGGTATTAGAGAGGCTAGAGAATTTATTCCATGTACCTTGCATAGAAGCCGATAAAATCTTGTAATAAGATCTTAATCTAAACAGGTAAGAATTGGCGTCTACCTCATCGCTTCTTTTGCTTCTAAGCTTTTTTTTTTTTTTTTTTCCTTTGCATTGTCGCAAGGTGGAGTGCTTGTACGCATGCACATGCCCTGGCCTTGGCGGAATGGGCAGCCATGGTTTTCGATTTTTTTGCGGGTTGTTGGATGCGGGTTGGGGAACGTATGACGTCAGGACCGCATGCGGCGAAAAATGAACATTTTATACCGCGAAAAAAAGGCGGCCGGAAAGCGGGAATGTGATATACCTTAGGTATTAGAAGCTTTAAAGAGGAAGAGTAAGGGAAAACCGCCACGCCTAACGTTGGAATGGTTAATGGAATGGTCCGATTGGCCTTGTTAGTAACGATGGAAAGTCCAGGGTTGCGCCGTTTAGTTTACAAAGTAAGTTAAAGGCTGTGGCTTGCTGGCCGGGGGGGCTGCAAGAAAGGCCGCCATGGATCTAGAAACGTCATTATGAGAACAGAATTCCGGCCAAGTTAGGTCTCCGGATGAGAAACACAGAATTACAGAACAGAACAGAGTAGAACAAAGTATGTGCATATGTATGTTGTAATGACTGTGTAAGGGAAGCGTGTATAGCCGGTGTAAACGGGGCGTAGAGTTTTGCTGCGCTGGTATAAGAGGGCGTTACTTCCCACCCGTCTGGTCTGTCCTCTTTAATCTTAAATCTCTGTATTACCATTCTTCCATCATCCTCTTCTCTACTATACTCTACCAGAACTACCGATCAATCAATCAATCAATCCAAACCGATAATAGACCGTTAGAAAAACGAGATAATTAGCAATCATGTCTCTTCACTATTTGCCCCCAGTTAAGCCAAGCGCTATTGCTCGTATGTATCCACGCATTCTTTGATACTTATGCAGCTGGAGATGGAGAAGAATAGTTCTCCATTACACCAGGAGGATTGATAGATTTGCTAACATGGGTCATTTTATTTAGTCGGTACTGCTTTCACTCAGCTTGGTCACACCGCCGTCCTAGCTCCCCTCTTCGGTGGTAAGTTCACCTATATTAACGACAATCGGAATAAATTCCCTGTGATCACCTATCTAACAGCACCAATAGACAGGTACGAGCGTGCAAGAAAGGCCAATGCCAGCCAAAACTTCCTCCACAGCAAGGTTAGCTACAAATCCAAACACTAATTTCAATGACGTCAACAATATTTTAACCATAAACGTGTAACATATAGGAAGCTAAGCAAGGCGCTGTCCTCTTCGGCACCACTCTCATCGGCTCCGGTGTCCAAACATACGCCATGGCCGCTCTTCTCACCACAACCGGCACCCTCAGCTATAAGGGTGCCGCTTACCTCGGAACTTTGGTCTTCTTCACTACCTCTCTAGGAGCTACCATTGGAGGTCTCATTGGATTTGGAGAACCCGGTGCTAAGGCTATTGATGTAGCTGAAGTTGTTGCTGGAACTGCTAGTTCGTTATTAGATACTGTTGGTCTTGCGATTATTTTGAACTGGTGGGGGGTTAGGACTATTGAATCTTTCTAAGTGATTGAAAGCATTTGATTTAAAGAGTGGGTTTTTTTGGGACATACTCTTTGAGGACAACATCTTTTTTTTGTAACGTTTTATTATGATCGTTATCATTAACGAGAACGGAAGGATTGCTTCAATAGCAGCAGCTGTATTAAGGACGGCTGTGAATCAATAAGAATTAAATAATTAATTTAATCTACTACTTGCAAAGTGCAGTCATAAAAACTACAATTCACGTATACATCCGATGTTAGTTGTATGTAACGAGTAATCCCGGGTATAAAAAACATATATTTAAATATTTGGCGAAATACCTAATCATGCAGATGTCATGGGGAATACTATATATCCCCTTGTGATATCGATGCCAGGGAATGATACAAATACTCTTCGAGAATACTTTCACCTGTGTCCCATTGTATCATTAAAGCGCTTCAGTTCAAATTTACATTGTAGCGACAAGTGAGTTCACTTTGGTGGCTCAAAAGTACTCGATCTTTTTATTTTCTCGCTAGATTTAAGAGTGATATGGCCGCCTAGCTACTTTCGGAATGGGATCTTGGTGGCACAGAACGCCCCGCATGCAATTTGAAGTCTATGTGATTTCTGGCGGGGGACTGCCAAGCCTAAAGGCTTCTTGGTATCGGCCTCGGACGAGATCTCGAGATTATTAATAGATTGAATTTCGAGGTCCACTTCATGCGAGCTAGATGAGAAAAATTGTGACATACGTCCTTAATGGAAGAAATTCAAACTGAAAGAAAAAAGAAAAGAGAGGTAAAGGGTAAAGTCGTTGAACCTTTCAAGGTGGGGTAAATGTGAATACTAACCTACAGCTGGAAGCTTCTATGCACCATTACATTTTCTTCTCAAATTATAATATCAATGGGTTTACCCTCTAGGGACTAGTCTGTCTCCTGGTATATACGTTTTTTCCAGTGGTTTTCTTTGGCCGGCGAGATCATGAGTAACACTACGTATCGGTATCAAGAACAGGCCCTAATGAAAAATTAACTATATACTAATTAAGCTTAAGCATTTACGTGCTTTAGATCTACAAATCTACCTAGTTACCTTTTTATATCTCATATATATATCATGAGTATGTCTTCGAATTCGAATTCGAACTCTCTGTTTGAATTCATGAGTCAACTTGTGATTATCCTGGTTTCTTAGCGTCAATTGATTAATTGACTACAAACCGTCTATAGTTACGATCGAAAAGGATTTAGAAAGAACGGATAGCCTTAATTCCGGGTCGATTCATGTGAATATGCGTATATGCATTTTCAGCCGATGCGATAACCCTTCCTTGTTGAAATTCGAAATGGCACTAGCACTTAGGTGTGTTGACTTTTGTTGTATTTACGTAATGAGATATTAATCTTACGATACGAGCTTGGATCCATGAATGCGATATTATAATATTATCCTCGAATCCAATTTTGCCTGCCAGGTAGTAAACCCCGAGATCATATCATATCATGTCATGCCGTCTATGTTACAAAATATGTTGCTTGTGGGTCCGATAGCTCGACGTCGACCCTCAGGAAACGTGGGAAATGCCTCTGATTGGACCTGCGGTAATTTTTTGCGAGCATGCTATCCACAATCCAACTATTCCATTCAGGATTTCTGCCACCTCTGGACATCGGGTGATCCGGGTCCACTGATACATCCTGGACGTAGTTGCACACGGCGGCCCAGCGACCCCAGGCTGGTGGGCTAGTAGCGGGCTAGCCAAGTTGGCCAGTACGTATCTGGTAAGGCGCCTGAACGGATGCGCGCCCGAATTGGCATCAATATTGATCCCAAACGCAAGCCACCAACATGTTACGCGAAAACATCCAAACCTCTCAGGCATCTTTCTTTTCTCTTTCTTTCTCTCCCCCCTCAATTTCCACGACAAATCTTTCACGACACCTCAGAAAAACGGTCACCTTCGACGAGAATCGAATCGCTCATCCGAACCGACTTGCCGTGGCTATCTGCGTATTTAAGGACGACTTTTTCCGCTGCTGAAACACGCAGTTATTTGCTCTCAACTACCCACGAGACCTTGTAGTGTTTGCTACTCCAAACAAAGACACAATAATCTGTGCCTGAAAAAGGGTCGTGAGCTTACCCTTTTATCAGCCATGTTATAGCAGGGCTACACCGCATCACCTACTCCTAGAACTTAGTTCGATATCTCTACTGAAAAGTTTGGGATTTTGAAATACACAATGCGAAGGAAACGATACGGAATTACCAAATTATACCGAGTCTGCAGATACTGGACGAATCGCTGAGCTTGCTCGCCCCTCGGTGCCGAGATGGCATCGCCAATTTGTATTTCGCACTATAATACACCTCAGCCACATACCACTATAATCAGAGACGGGTCAAATGCCAAAAATGCTATCGTTATTGATGATAACGACGAAGATGATGTATATCCTTCCAACGTAAGTAGGAATCCTATCAGTAAAATATATCCATTGTACTTTGCGGTCATAGCTCTGGTTATTCCCCCCGCGAAATCAAGATAGGCTCTCGCCTTCTTATCTTTATTTCCCAACTCGATGATGAAGCTTTTGCTTTTGGTAAAAGGTCTGAATACAGCTTCTGCTGTCGTTGCTTACCGCTCCATCAAAACATCCTTTGCTTCCTTAAGTTCGTTTCTGGACTTTACTCTTTACCCTCCCTAGTCTTCAGTAGTTCTTTCAATGCAATGGCAAATACCACAGTTCCAACCGGCAGGGACGATTTTATACGAGGCCTTGGTGGGAAAGATCTACATCCACCGGTTTTGCTAGACTGGACTCTTCAAAATCCTGTTGATAACCACCGCTTCTCGCGCAACCCGGGTGTGGCGTCCCCTTCCTGGGATCTTCCTTAGCACTGCCGCTTTTAGTGGTCTACCTGCAAGGTTGCATGTTCCCGTCGTGGATAAGGGACCAATGGCATTGGGTTACATCATTTTTAATACAAACAAGCTTGGCTGTGGTGGCTATATTCATTGGACTCTGAATGGCGCTGGCGTCTTACGGGACGCTGTTATGGGAAGTGGTTCTGGTTGAAGAAGGGGATGGCTTATTGGGGTATGGATGGGAGTTGGATGGCACGTAGCGTTAAGGAAGCTACATTGACGATTAAAACAAATATAAACTGAAAAGATCTGATTGGAGTTGGATTTAATTTCATCTTGTTCGACAAGTACCTGGTATTTGAGGTTTTATGGGCTCTAGCTGACATAATTCTTTCTACGAGGAATAGAATCAAACATTGCTGCCGGAGGCAATAGTGCAGAAGTCGTAAGTATCCATCATAATCTAGCTACCGTTCCAGGGTACCGAACGATATCTAATGAGTCCCTTATAGATATGTACCTATACTCGACTTGACCGGGGGCAGCGCCACCCCGCCTGCTTCTCATCCCCCAGAAGGCGTGGCTGAACTTCCAGGCTCAGAAGTCCCGGCTGAATTTGCTAGTCAGCCGACATATACTTTATCATGGGGGACTCACGCACATGCGCAGCAAACCGAGCAGAACCCACCTGTAGCTACGAATGATGAACTCCCTGATACAGATATAAATTCGACAGTTATCCCAAGTCAAGATAAAACGCCAGGTCTATCGCAAGAGAGAAACAGTGCAGACAGGCCTTCTCCCCAGCGTCAAAACTCACGACCGAGAATGAAGGAGAGGAATGTAAAATTTAGATCGGGAAGTGCTCGTCGGGGTGCCGGGAACCCTCAATTATGGGATGACGATGATATTACGGCGGTGGCTCCACGGTCTACTCCTGCATCTGATTTACAAGCCGAGCTATACTGCAAATCTGGCCGTGTAGTTCAATGTCCCGGCCAACCTGGGTCAGAACCCCACCAGACTCCCTACAGCGAGCAAAAGGTTGATGGGGTCATAAAGTATGGGTGCACCCCAGAGTGTGGATACGTCGTGTCGGTTGCAGAGTATAAAGAGATGGTATACAAAAATTTGATACGAGGGATAGTCCCACGCGGGGCGGGGATGATGAGTGATGATGTGGTTGAAAAGGAGGTCGTCACTCTTGAGAATGGGAATAAGCATAGCGAAGATCCTACAGGAGTAGATCCGCCCAGTCCAGTCAGCCAGTCCATACGAGGCGATCAAGTTGAACTTTTGAGTAATCCGAAGTCTCCTTCTGAGCCTTTGGAACCTTTGGTCACAGAATTAGCCATGGAGGTGGAGGTCGAGAATAGCGATTCTAGAAGCTCGTTACCTGCTACAGTAGCCCCGACAGATAAGCCAGCTATCGAAATCCTAACAACTGTTGATGAATTCGTATCCCCACCACTCGTCGATGATCCCTCAGCAACAAAACCAGTTAGTGAAAGTTCCCAGAGTGTCGTAGAACAGTCTAGGTATGATAAGTCCAAGCGCGTAGGCAGATATCGGTCTACACTTCCTTATTTATATCTAACTTTTGTTTTCTGGCCGTGTTTGCAGAACTGAAGATATCCCTGGAGCACCAGAGCCCTCAGCTGAGGGTGCGCCTGCCGAGCTTCCAGCTGAAGCCCATGCACCTCCACCTGCTCCTGAACCTCAACAATCAACTCCAACTCCTCCCATATCACCAACCCTTCTTCCATCTGCCAAAGAAAAACCTTCCCAAATAGACAATCCTTTATTGGAGGGGTCTCTTCCTCAAGATCTAATTGATAGTGAGAAGATAGACGCTCCGGTAAGTTCTTGAGACCCATCTCTTCTCTCATTAAAAAAAAAAACCTAATTCCTCTCTTCTTAATCACAGCAACCTTCAAATTCTCCTCCACCACCTCCAACAAACATGTCTAATCCCAAAGAAAGCACGCCGAAGGCTATGAGCCTTTCTTCATCTACTACGCTATCAGACCCATCATTTCCGAAGGTATCATCTAGGTCAAAGGCCTCTCGAAGGATGGTTCCCTCTCCACAGCCACCCCCACCTGCTGCACCCGCCGGAAACACTCATATGCCGCCGACCACACGTTCTTCTTCAAGCAAAAATGTTTGCATTGCATGTAAACGGGAGAATGGTGGCCTCTCAGCAGACCACCCCGTCAAGTGTCAAGTTTGCAAGAGAGCGTGGCACAGAAGTTGTAATGCCGGGCTGGAAAATATGTTAGTACCCTCATTGATTTAAGCTTCTACCCACGATGCTGTAGAACGAGTTACTAACGATCACATCAGGGGCTACAAAGTAACTAGCTGGACATGCCGCTCTTGTAGTAGATCTAGGAAGGCTACAAGATCAGGTACATCCGGCGGGTCTACCACAGGCTCCACTGGAAGGAGATCATCACGGCAATCCCTGCCAAGCTCTACAAAACGTAATAGTGGTGGGCTTTATGGATTGGGACCCAAGCAACAAACTAAAGATGCAGTTAGACGTCCGTCGTCCAACAGCCCGTCTATCGTACTGGCTACAACGACGATCACGGATGCAGAACAGGGTCCTGATAAGCCTAACACTCAAGATTCCCCCGAGGATGCGAGTGACATGCAGGCAGAGCCTCGTCGGCTAAGGAATAGGTCACGGTCACCTAGGAAAGATAGAAGCGTTAATAGTATGGAGAGGGTACGTGATAGGGTTGATAAAGCTCCACCATTGTTGACTATGAGGACACGAAGATCAGTGTCATATCAAACGAGGGATAAATCATCCTCTCGAAACTTGGAAGAGGATGGCGATGACAATGGAGAGGCTTCGACACCACGTAGCCGACGTGCAGCACGGCTCGTACGGGTGAGTTTGGAGAAGAACCCACGGAAGGAGGATCAGGATACTGGACGCACGCAACCTGTTCGAGCCTCTAGGAAAAGACGCATTAGTCCTGCTATGGAACCTGGGCTTGAAGAGCAGGATACCACCCTGGTAGCCGACTTGGAACCTTCTCCAAAACGCCAAAGGGTTGAATCTCCCCCTGTCATCTTGGATGACGAAATTCTAAATGAGGAGCCGATAGTTATTGATGACCCAACACAGGAAAAGGGAGATCAGGTGGTGGAAAGTCAGACTGTTGCAGATGTTACGGCCGTCGAGACCGGCGAAGCCGAAAACGAAGTTATCGAAGAGCAAAGTGGTGAGCCGGCAGATGTATCAGAGACTGCCCAGGCTTCAGCCCAAGAGGTCCCTTCAAGCCCAAAGATTGGGAAATTTAAACCACTGCCAACGCTAAGTCTTCAACGATTAAATGACATGATATGCAATAGTGGGACCACTCTGGACTTCCCACGACGGCAAGCAACAGAGACTTTTGGTGTCCCCGAACAACCGCAAGACCCCGAGGAGGATATGCATATCTTCGTGCCTCCGCAAATCCAAGAGATCCTTTCAATAGCGCCACAAGCTGATGAAGGGGCAAACCTGCCGGCGGATATGCCGTGCGATATACGAACATTCGAAGAACAAGAACCCCTACCTCCCAGTATAGACCCCGAAGACATTGACATCGACGCGGAATTTGAAGGGTTTAGTGAAACCCACAAAGATGCAGAAGATGAGGTTAGGGAAAGGTATAACACCCAAGCCGAAGGGTTGGGATCTCACCGGGGGGAGTGCTCGATATTGGAGAACGAAGTAGCAACCTCTGTGACTGCCTTAACTGACGGTATACTTCAGCAAACTGAAGAACAACAGAAGATGGTGGAGGAGTTGAGGGTGGCGAATGAGATGTGTGAGGAGTATAAAAAGAGCGCTCAGAAGGCTAAGGAGGAATGTGAGCAACTTAAGTGCCGAATCGAAATACTTGAGAAGGAGGTGGAGAGTTCCCATAAGAATAATGGGAGCACTCTAGGGCTGGAAAAACAACTTGCTAATGCAAGAACCCGATATGAGAAAGCTGAAAGGGAGCTAAGTGTGTCGAAGGCTAAGGCCAAGGAACTTGAGAGAATACAAAAGCGGTGTGAAGCATTACAAAATAGATTGGACGACTCTAAAAAGGACTATCGACAACTTGTAGCGGAGACGGAGGGACAAGCCGAGAAACTAGAGGCCGCGATCAACGAAAAGAATGCCCTCGCCCAGAACATTGGGAGTGTGAAAAGCCACCTTGATCAGGCACGGAGAGACTCTGACGCGGCGAATTCTGAGCTCAAAGTAGCCAGGGACGGTTATAAAGTTTTGGAGAGAGAGGTCAAGATACTCAGGGCCTATGATGCCCGAATTCGATTGCCTAGCCTCGTCAACACCGGAATAGGAGGCTTATACTCTGAAACTGCAAAACAGCTTGAAGATCTTAAGGCTTTGAATCTGGAACTTCATCAGAAATTGGACAATGAGGCCGCTCAGGGTATCTACCACACAGAGCAGTTCAACAAAATGTGGAAGGAGCACGCGGATATTAGAAAGGAACGTGACGAAGCAAAGGCCCAGAATTCCGAACTCAAGCTGTCGAACAAGAACCTTCAAACGCAACTGGATAATTCTGCTATTCAGAATTTTTATTCGAAGGAGAGTCTGACAGATTTGTGGAAGAGCATAAACAAGAAGGATGCTGAATTTAAAGGGCTGAAAGAGGAGAAAACTAAGTTGGAAGAGGCGAATAAGAAGGTGGGAGATGAGAACGAGAAGTTGAAACAGAAGAATAGGGAGCTAGAGGGCGCAAACAAGGAGCTAGAAGAGGCGAACAAGAAACTAGAATATACGGCAAACCAAGAACAGGCCGAATTGGAGAATCTCAAGTCGTCTAATTTGACACACGAACTCATGAAGTACCATTATGAGGAGCAAATACGGAACCTCAAGGAAGCGGCCGAAGCGGGAAATAAGGGCCTCGAGGAAAAGAAATTAGTGCTTCCGAACATTCACCAGATAGCCTGGACGTCGGAGCACCCTTCGGACCATGTCAAACAACAGCAATTGGATGACTTGGTATTAGCACCAATCGGGAACTTGAGCGGACTAGACAAAGATCTTACGAAAAGGGAGCCATCCAGGATCAAAGAACTCGAAGATGAACTCGAACGACGGAAAGCACTTGAAGATGGTTTACTTGAGCGCCTTCAAGCAGCCGAACAGCGATGTCGAGAACTTGAATGTAGATCGGCTACTCCTAGTCTAATGTCTTCCTTTTCCGGCCCCGTCCTTGAACCTGAACCTGAATTTGACTTCGGAGTTTTGAATCCGATGCTACCCCAATGCGGCACCGAAGTAGATGCAGTTGGCGATCTCCCGGAGAACCATCGGGTCCGAACATCACAACCCTGGAAGGAACGTTACGAGGCCTGGTACAATCGCAACCCTAGAGCGTTACACCTCCACCGTTCCTGCAAACGAGAACTTACTAGCATCAAAGGCAAAGTTAAAGTCCTTGAGACCGATGGAAGTGAGTGTAAACCTGATGATGATAAGGCGGATTTAAGAGGTCGGACGAGGAAAAGGGGAGAAATGACGTTCGACGAGTTTAGAGGGATTAACCAGAACGAAGTTGTTCCGGTGTCGATGGAAAAATGTGGGAAAGTTGTTTTTAGGAAGGCTGAGAAGGTAAGAATTTACCACAGTTGTTCTGGCAGGCATGGCCCTTGATAGCTAACTTTTGACAATAGAATCGAAGAACGGGCGGTCTCAGCCGACATGCTGTCATGTACAAAACAGGTCGCAACGTTCCCGGCGAATTGCGAGGTTGATCGCTGACTCAATATTTTTTTTTCATTTCCATATATTAAAGGTATAAGAGGGCATGTTTATAGAAATCGGCGTCATGGTCTCCTTTTTCTTGTTTAAAGATGGGGGCTGCAGTATTCAGGCGTTCAAACGGTGCCTTTTTTTTTTGAAGTATATTTTTTTCCCTTCCTATTCTTCTACTATTTGGTAGACTGGCGCGCGCGAGCGGGGGTTATTCTTCACAGATAGATTTCATATGAGCTTTTTTTTTTATTCTCTCTGTTTTTCTCGGTCACGGCTGGATTCGACGTCTAGCTAGGTGGCGTTATATCACTCTTGCCAATTGCGATTATATAGCATTATTAATACTTGCTTGTTCCTATTCAGCGTCAGACTAAGCTTCAAGCATGTATCAATTAATTGCGGATAGAAATAGTTTTGTACGTACATGATTCAGATCAGGCTGCGACAGAGCGTTATCATCAATATTACTAGAAAACTATTTTTTTTATTGATTTAGATTTTTTTTAAAAAATGCCCGTTCATGTGCTAAGACCGAAATAAATAGTACAACTTATCTTACACTGGTTATCATATAAAAAAACCGATGATGACATATTCTGCATGGCCGGACAGGGGCGTTGGTGAGAAAAGATGATGCGGAAGAAGATTTCAACCCAAAGCTTAACTGATAAAATGCCCGACTTTTCTATCGTCTTCAAACATGAAAAGGTTCCTTCTTTTAGCTTGATAATTATATTTACAGTCCCCTCCAGTTATCAATATGTGATGGAGTAACTTGCATTCGAAATTGATTCATGAATACCACCCTATTTCGAAAATTTTCAAAAGTCACATCGGAGCTTTCATCTCATTATTTCTTAAATTATTATTTGCTGTTTTTTTATTTTATTTCCTAAAATCTTTTTTTTTGGAAAAAAAATCTACTCCGTCTTAGTAGAATCTTTCTTCTCCGCCGACTCTGAAGACGACGATGATGATGTTGTAGGTTCGGCCTCATCACCGGGGGCTAATACACCAGCTTTCTCAAAAAGTTCAGAAAGTTCTCCAGAGGAGTGCATGGACATGAGGATATCGCATCCGCCTACGAATTCCTTGTTGACGTATAATTGGGGTATTGTCGGCCACGAGGAGTATTCTTTGATTCCTATCCCCAAATCAAAACCGTATATTAGTACTGATGCCAACCAACCAACCACCACCACCACCATGCTTTTAAAAAAAATGAAAGCAGAAGAAGAGGAAAGAGAGGAAGGGAAAGAAAATACCCTGCCGTAACTCATCATCCTCCAAAACATTAAACGCAGTAAATTTCTGCGGATCAACCCCTTGTAAACCCAAAACCTGGATGCTAGCACGTGAGAAGCCGCATTGTGGGAACTCCGGGGTACCCTTCATGAATAAAACCACGGGGGAAGTAGCGACAGCATTATCGATTGCGGCGCGAGTCGAATCGGAGAGGTAACGGGCGAATAATGAAGTTATTCCTGTTGTTTTTGTGAAAGTAGTAGCGGTGGTGGGGTAGAAGGTTGGGCGGGTGGTCTGGATTTTTTTTAAATGGTGGATTATTAATGATGATGTTAGTATGTTCGCACTTTTTTTTTTTAATGTTCGTTCGCTACAAGGCGGATTTGATCGGGAGATGGTGAGGGAAAGGAAAAGGGAAAGGGAAAGGAACTTACGGCGCGAAGGAGAGATCTTGTGAATAACGACATGGTGTTTAGTATACAGGTAGAGCCCGCTTTGGTGTCTCTTTTGGGGGGAGTAGAGAGAGGTTTAGTTGGTCGGTCTAGTTGCAAGTTGGAATGAAGGAATTCAAGGAATTTTGATATCAGAACAGACGTTATGTCGGGCGCTCGGGCTAAAAAGTTAAGCTGCGGGAGCACCGAATGAGATTGTGGTATTTTGTAAGCAACAACACGGGTCGGTGGCAAGGGTCGGTGGGCCCATGGGTCGACAAGGGTGGTTATCCGATATAGTATACTATAGTTATATTTGAAAAAAATATCGAAGTATCCCGTGATATATTGATTAGGATTTGCGCTTAGTATTTTATAAGCTTCGAGTGGTAAGGAATGGTATTATATCGTGGGTATGATTGGGAACTCTAAGAGTGTCGATTGACCCTGCCACGATTGGATTTTTATTCTCAAGGAGGTTTTTGGTAATACAGGGGTTATCGTTAAGTTATTCATATATCAGTGTTTCTGACATAGGGTGGATCGGGCATAATTCAGGCTATAAGACCTTTAGCTTCAAAGTTAGTCCTTAGATAATAAAGTCTTCATAACCTATCTAGTTCTGGATTTGAGACCACATCGATCCAAGTAACCATGAATATGATATATCCAATCATGAATATGCCCACGATTAATTGAAGGAGTAGAGTTTTTTCCCTTATTACTTTTATCTACAATCAAACCCCCCCATAATAACCCATCAAATACTCCCCCCTCCAAAAAAAAACATAAATCTAATCATCCAACCACTCCAAAAACTCCGGGGTAAAATAACTAACAATAATAGTAGCTCCAGCCCTCAATATCCCCGTCATAACATCCTCTGCCGCTTTTCTAAGATCGAACACTCCAGCTTTCGCAGCAGCGTGTATCATCGCATATTCACCCGAGACATGATATGCCGCAATGGGAGTATCAGGGGAAACCTGCTTGGCATCACTGATTATATCCAGGAAATTGGCCGCGGGCTTGACCATTATTATATCTGCACCTTCCGAGAGATCGCGGGTAATGGCGCGGCGGGCGAGACCACGAGCGTTTGAGGGGAGTTGGTAACATCGACGATCGCCGAATGCTGGAGCTGAGCCGGCGGCTATGTTTTTTTTAAAAAAAATTACCATTAGCATATATTTCACTATGCTTTTCCATAAAGAGAAGAAGAGATGATACATACCCTCACGGAAAGGTCCATACCAAGGACCAGCAAACTTCGCCGCATAACTCATCAACAAAACCTTATGCGCCAACCCAGCCTCAATCAATCCCAACTTAATCCCCTTGATCCTCCCATCCATCATATCCGATGGAGCCACACAATGCGCCCCAGCCTTCGCATAACTCACCGCCACCTCCGCAATCCTCTTAACACTAGCTTCATTCTCCAAAGTCCCATCCTCTCTCAAGATCCCACAATGTCCGTGATCGGTATACTCACAAAGACAAACATCACAAACGATGAATAACTCCGGAAACTCGCGTTTTAGGAGTTTGATTGCTGAGATCACGGGACCTGTGGGGTCGTTGGCTGAGGTTCCGCAACTGTCCTTTGTACCTTCGGCGAGGGGCACGCCGAAGAGGATTACGGATTTTAAACCTTTGGCGATTAAGGGGGTTAAGTAGGGGACTAGTTTGTTTAGACCTAGGCGGGATTGGTTTGGTAGGGAGGAGATGGGGGTCTCTTCGTCTGGGTTGTCGGTTATGAAGAGGGGGTAGATTAACATGGATTTTGTGAGTTGGGTGGTCCCTTGCCAGGTTCGAGAGAGCGGGTGGTGGTAACCACCGTGGAGGATTGAAGAGATATCAGTCATTTTTGTTTTTTTGTCGATGTGGATATGTCAATGTGGATGTGGATATAAGGTATCTTCGTAGTGAAAGGTTGGAGGGGTTGAGAAAGGTGTGTTGAGAGTGTGGTATTTTCAAGCAATGCGGTTGAAAATGGGATCTCGGTGAAGCATGCGCATGCAAATGGCGCCCGAGTGAGTGAATTCCAATCAAAAAGAATATCGATGAACCGAATATAAATAGAATACAAATAGTAATAAAGATACTCGTAGTTGATTTTTTTTAATAGTCCAGTCCCATCTGCGCCAATATATATACTTTTTCCAGTTGTAAGCTGAGGAGAAAGATAAAAAAGATAGAAATTAGAAAGACCGAAAAATTTCATATGTTTGCATGCGAAGGAATTAACATACGCACACCCACCTTCCTTTCCCCACACTCGACTCTTCTTCCGCTGCCCGCCGCCGACCCGGAGATCCCGACGTTTATTTCCCACTTTCATTATCGATAACATCGTATGATAAACTCCTCCAGGCTAGGCTAGGTTAAAATAGTAAAAGATGGTCTTCTTTTTCACTTCTAACGTCGTCGACCCCCCGGCGTACATCTACGTCGGGAAGGATAAAGTCGAAAGTAAGTACTCATCGTATCCGTCCCTCCTCACTTCCCCAAATACATACTATAATAGATATATATATATATATATGCATAGAAAATCTTTGATATTGATATTGATATGCATAAATACAGACGAAGAACTCATCAAACACGGCTGGGATGAAGATGTCTGGTTTCACGCCGATAAACTCTCATCCGCACATATCTACCTCCGTCTCAGCGAGGGTGCATCTTGGGAAGACATTCCAGAAGACCTCCTCACTGATTTGGCCCAGTTGACAAAGGCGAATAGCATTGAAGGCATGTCTCCCCATATGTCATTTTTTACAATACATAAAAGGTCTTTAAGAATGAGAACAGATCTAAGAGACAAGAGAAGAGAAAAGAAAAGAAAAGAAAAGAAAAGAGAAAGGCTACTAACTCGGGCAAGGCAACAAAAAGGATAACGTCGCCATAATCTACACGCCATGGAGCAACCTAAGAAAAGACGGCAGCATGGCCGTCGGTCAAGTCTCCTTCAAAGACCCCAAAAAAGTCAAAAGAATCACCGTCGTTCAACGACAAAACCCCATCGTCAACCGTCTCAACAAAACTAAACGGGAGGAATACCCAGATCTGTACCAACAGAAGGAAGACCACCTGAGAGAGATCAAGAAGAGGGAACGGATTGCTCAGCAGAACAGGGTACGTTTATGTCATTATTTCTATTTGTTGGAGTTCTTTGAGTCGGAATACTAAGATTATCAATCTTCGCTTTGAATTGTAGAAAAAGCAAGAAAAGCAAGTAGAACTGGAACGACAGGATATCAAGTTCCAGAAGGATCATGCCTACGATGCATGGAACGATGACAGCGCTGTGGCTGGCAGTAGTAACCAGCACGGCCAGAGCTACGAGGATTTTGAGGACGATTTTATGTAACTCAAGTCTTCAGCATGTATAGGTGTAGTTAGACAGACTCGTCTCCCTTCAATTATACCCAAGAACTTGTCAAAGGGTAGAAGGACCAATAAACTACAACTGCATCTCGAACCTATTTAATATCACCGAGCTTGATTACTCAAAAACTACGTGTTATGCAATAACAATAATGTAGCGGCCCTCAATAGAGACACTCCACCCAGTCTCTTCTTTCATTCGTCTTATCCTATCCTATCCTATCTTATAAAAACCACCTAGCGAGAGCCGCTAAATCCACCATCCCCACAGCCACAAAAACAGCATGCATCCATGCTAGCAACAATCTAACCATATCGCTAAAAAGGCAACCGCAGGTAGAAAACCAAACAAGTAATAACAAAAAGAAGAAAAAGCATGTATGTAACGCCGCCCATTGCTTCTACCCAGAGTAAGTAGTTATAGTACACAATAAGAGTTCAAAGAAAGAGCAGTATGATAATAAAGACTTTTTTCGCCCTGCCTAATCTCGCCCATCTCCCATTTCATACAACAGGCGGAAGGTGTGGACACGATTAATACTGGCTGCTCTAGTAAGGTAAAACGTAAATGATCGCTCTTTTGAATATGCATCGACAGAGATGGGCCATCACGACTGTATGTGACTGTCGGCAGAGAATAGATGCATGTCGGTTTGCGCCGGATACTAAAGAAAGGCGGCCGCAGGTACAAAAGCGGATCCTGACGGTAGTGAAGATATGCAAGGATATGCTGAACGCCAGACGTATTATGGCGCAGTATACAGGAAAGGAATGAAGTCGCCGTTCATGCATAAAAAGATGTTGGGACACGGGTCGAAATATGTAGGGAATAGGATCCAGCTTCGAAAGGGCAGCCGAGTCGGATATTCGTACCAGAAATCGGATAGAGGGTGAGGGAGATGGGAGACACACGAAGTCGGTAAGGCAGTCAACAATCTAGCCACTGCCAATGACAGGAGCTAAAAGAGCGATCACCGGGATTCGGTGTGGTCGTGAAGACGAAGAAGTCCAAAGCCATGTCTAAAAATCGAGGGGTACACTCGAAGTTGACAACAGCATGAGAAAGAAGGTAAAAGAAAAACCATTATGTCGAGGATCGTAAAAACCTGCAAGTACCAGGTTTGCAAAAAGTAGGAGATCCATCCGGGTCGAGGAAACACTCGACATCCGGAGGAAAAAATCGACCAGACGTGTTTGACAAGAAATTAGTGTTCGGGCAGACAGAGGGCATGATAGCTATTAATGATGTAAAAAATACCATCCACAAGCTATCGTAAGGATCAAGATCAATGCCATGGTAAACCAGAAGTAGAGGAAGCACTGCCCAACCTAATGGGCATGTGCGACTGCCGGAATGGCAACATCGACACTAGGGTTCAAAAGTGGGTCAATGGGTAGCTCAGAGCCTGCTGTCTCATCATCGTTCGGCGCATTATGATCATCATCGTTCGGAACATCGTGATCGTCTTCGTTCGGCGCATCTTGGTCGTTACTTGGTGCAGCCAATGCAATTCCCACGCTCTCAGGGGATGCAGAGCGCATAAGTCTGCCTCCACTATCGCGCATCCACAACTTCTCTTGTGAAGATGTTTGGGCGGTTGAAGATCGGGATCTTGTGGCGCGAACATTGTTCCTGACAACAGGCTTCTGGGCGGTCAAATTAGACACGCCCTCTTCGGCGAGTAGGCTTTTTGGAATGTGAGCTATCGCGCCGTTGGTTTCCGGTGAATCCTCATGGACACTCTCCGGGACTGGCGAACTGCAAATCGGTATGATCATTGGCTCCTCGTCATCGCCCTCGTCGTTGTCGTCGCCGCTAGACCCATTCTCCTCCTCATCTTCATCGCTAATCTCGTCGTCCCCTTCTCCCTCCTCATCCTCATCGTCGTAGTCACCAAAGCCTTCAAAGGTCTCCTCCTCCTCCTCCGCGTCCTCGTCCTCGTCGTCGCTGTCAAGAAGGCTGACGACCTCGGGTTGCTTGCTGCCCTTCTTTGGTGCCACCTCTTGCTCGTCCGCCTCGTCGTCCTCCTGGTCTTCGTCGGGTTCGGTATCGGACCCCGCATGAACTGGCTCGGGGTTGAAAACGGGACCGCCTGGGTAGGCAAAGTCGCGAGCGATCGGTGCCCCCCCAAGCGGGGCGTTCGACGGCTGGAACAATGAGACCGGCGTCCCAATCTCCGGCTCTACACTATGATTAGCCGGACGATTGTCGCCGGCCTCTTCCCTCTCTTCCTCCTCAACGGCCATCTCCCCTGACCTAATGCCGAACGAAACACCAAAGGAGGATCCTTGGTTGGTAGTGAAGGGGCGCGGCGGGGAGGGCGTTGCAGCAAAATGCTGCGAGGTGGGGGCCGGCGGTGGTGGCATCAATTTTCGGTCCGAAGACCGCGGTCTTTCTTCAGCCGGTTCCGAGGACCGGGACCTCTTCGCTGGCTGCTGGCCCCTCGTCAGCGAGTCAGCGGCCAAAGACCGCTTCCGCGGGTCTTTGGCCTCCTTGCCGTATGGATGGACGGAGTTGTCCATCGTGTCTTCCGGCGAGTATCGGAGGGTCCCGGCGGCATCGCGCTTGCGATTGCTCGCCGAGAGTACCTCTTCCTCCCGCCGGAGACGCTCCTCCTCCTCCTCTGCTGCCAACCTCGCCAGCATCTCCATCCTCGCGTCCCTCCTCTGACGCTCCCTCTCCATCTCCCTCTTCCTTGCCTCCTCCTTCCTCCTCTCCGCCTTTGCCTCCTGGATGCCCCTTGTATTTTCGAACAAGGCACCCCGTGCCCTAGCAGCCAAGGCTGCATAGGGGCTTTCCGGCTTTGCTGCTTCCGGCGAGCTTGCCCGGCTGCTCACGGCCGAGGTCCCTCTGGACCTGGCCAGAACCTCTTGGACGTATCTAAGGTCCTCGAAGCGGTGCGGGGAGGCAGCGGTATCGTTGGGGGTGGTGGTGGCGTTGACGCTGGTTGGTGGCAGTCTCTGCGAACGGCTCCCCATCAACGACGAGGCGGGACGAATCCCAGACCCCGTCGAAGAATGGAGGCCAATTCGCGAGATGCCAAACGACGAGTTCGACACCCTCGAGGCCCCAAACACACTTCTCGAGACCGTGCTCCCCGCTTGGGAAGCACGCATCTCTCGAAGGTGCTTTTTCCTCCTCTCCTCTGCCGCCTTCTTCCTCATGGCCACGATTAGGCCATCATCCCCCTTTCCTAGCTCGCCGCTAGTTTGTCTCCTCGTGCTTGGAGTGAGACCAAAGCTGCCGAAAGATCGGACGGAATGGTGCGACGCGTTAGATCGCGGCGGGCCACGCTGTGAATGTCGAAAGACATCGCTGTCTCCCGACGTCACACGAGGGCTGGGAGAACCAGCCTCTCGCTGCGTAGCCGCCTTGATCTGGTCGACCTGCTGTGAGATTGGTTTGCTCGTATCGACGAGCGCGAGAATCGACGGACGAACATCCGGGTTGTTACGTTCGAGAGCGGATGGGAAGCGTCGTGGTGTTAGTGATGTAGCTGATGCTGCAGACATTGTGCTGCCTCCGAAGGCGGAGGAGCGCTGCGACATCGTGAGGGCGAATGGTTAGGAATTGATGATAATTGTGATGGTGTTAGCTGTGATGATGGTGGGGAAGTGGGAGGTGATGATGAATGGTGATAAGAAGCGCGTGGACAAAAGATATAGATACATAAGAAAGGATGGAGGAGGAACAGATAGAAAGAGGCAGAGAGGTTGGCGGCTGTTGAATCCCAATCGGGATTAGAATCGAGTGCACAACACGGGTCACAACACGGGGAGCCTCAACACGGGGACATGCAACGCACGGGGACAAACAAACACAGACTCACGTGATAATGTTCTTTGTTCCCGAGCAAACGAAAGTGCTGCCTGTGTTGTCGCTTTGAACCATAATCCAACAGCTGCAACACATCAGAGAAGCATTTGGATTTAGGAATCTCTTCCCTGTCTCCTCACAGTCACCAGCCCCCTTATTCACCTTCACTCCCGCCCACCAGCTACTATATATCACTTCAATGTGACCACGCCAACACCGAATCCACACTGCACACGTCCTCAACTACTCACAGTTCATATATAGCAAGTTTCTATCAACAAAATGTCCCCAGAACAACCACGAAGCAAGAGAAGGAGCAGTTGCAGAATATTGTTCCTATGATGAAAATGAAGACTCGAGGAACGAAAATGGGTGCGCTTAGTGGGCCATAAGCATACCCCTAAAGCTTTTGATCCAGGCGAAGAGTTTTCTCTTTTATCAGTTAGTTTTCCTGCTACAATATACGAAAGGTAATACATCAAATACTATAGAAGTATTAAAATAACTAACATCAATGCCAAAACAGCCTCGCCGAGGAGGCGCCATACAAACCTCCTTCATCCAGCCGCACCTAGATCTCTCGAGTCTTCAAAATCTCAATCGTGAGAATGCCACGAAACCTCCAAAGCGGTACAGGAGCTTCTACGTCCAGACTAACCTTGTGAAAAGCCAGGTCTGGAATACCTCATGGTTCCTGGGTTCAGGCCAGGCAACATGGTCGGGCTTGACATCCCGGCTGTGACAAGTCCCTCCCACTATAACAACCTTATGAATATAAAGATTCCCAAGTATGCAATCCTTGTGGAAGGGAATGTTCCGCTGCTGCCGACGAAACCAATGTCGCGGCTTGAATTCGCGCTTCTTAGGCGCCCCGTCGTTCAGGGATCAGGCTGCCCGTGCCCGACTTGCTCTCTTGTGGGACTCGTCACTGGACATTCCCGGTTGGGTCCCCGTCGTTGTTGTTGAAAGCAGTACGGGTGCATCTTGTACATACTATCTCCATTGTCAAGCAGAAACAATCAATATCAATACATGCTGGCCCAGCGGGCTACCCGCCGCCGAAGTTCCCATACTGTGTTGATGTTTGCCCCCCGAAACACCCCAGAGCCCCAAGAACCATAGTACTTATCCCAATCCAGTAATTTCACCACACTCCACCACCCCCAATCCTCATTCAATCCTCATCCACCTTCTCACCCCACCAACCACCACCACCACTAACCACTATCATATCAACCAAGACCACCACCAACTCTACCAGCTCTACCAGCTCCCACCCCCTCAACCCACCTCCAAAATGGACATCGTAATGCTCCACCCCTCCCACATCCCCCACGTCCAAACCTGCAACATCACAAACCTCCCCGAAAACTATTTCGCAAAATACTACCTCTACCACGCCTTAACCTGGCCTCAACTTTCATACGTCGCCATCGACCTCTCAAAACCTCCAAAATCCCCTCATGATCCCCCCAAAATCGTAGGATACGTATTAGCAAAGATGGAAGAAGAACCACTCGATGGTATCCCTCACGGTCATATTACCTCTCTATCCGTCATGAGAACTCATAGACGGTTGGGACTTGCTGAGAAACTTATGAGGCAGAGTCGTATGTTTATCTCCTTTCCTTTCCTCCTACTATTTTCTTTTTTTTTTTAAAGAAGGAAGAATATACTAACAATAAAAAACAGAAAAAGCAATGGTCGAAACCTTCGGCGCAAAATACGTCTCCCTCCACGTCCGCGTCTCCAACAAAGCAGCCTTAAGACTCTACAAAGACACCCTCCAGTTCGAAGTCGAAAAAGTCGAATCAAAATACTACGCCGACGGCGAAGACGCCTACTCCATGAAACAAAACCTCGATTTCATCTGGGACGGCGTGAAAAAGGAAGAAGCCTTATATAAAAAGGACGACAAAAAGGGTGACGCAGAAACTGGTGAAGGCGCCGGTGATGAAGATGAAGGTGATCCAGTCGGTGACGAGGGACAGGAAGATAAAAAACCAAAGGAGGTCATGCGGAAAGTTAAGATTGGAAGAGCGTTAGGTGTCAGCGATCTTGTCGAGAAGGTCGAGCAGCCCAAGGCATCATCATAAATTTCACTATCTTAACGATTCACGACCTGTATATACCTCCCAAAAGTTTAGATTACCGATTTACAAACCCCCTAATCTAATCATATTTAATCATGACCACCATATAATGAATTATACTCGACCATCTCTTCGCTTACATTATATCTTACTGAATTTAGGCAAGAAAAACCATTGAATTAGAGAAAGGGAAAGAAATGGAGTATATGTGGAGCAAAATACATACAAAAAAACAGTACGAGCAATAGAAAGGCATAGCGCCGGCGGTAACCCCAAACGACAAATTATCAAACAATGTTCCTCCACTCCAATTATCCCCTATATCGAAAGTTCAAAGTACAAAACCCACCAGACAAAAAACAGTTAGGTATCAGAATGCAAATAATGTATAGAGCGAACACAAATACAAACCCTCTACTCTTCGGATCCAAAGGGAGGGTATATCAACCGATACAGCATTAGCGCACACCCCCCAGAACCCAAGATGTCCCAATCCAGTATCTATATTTCTACCTTTAAGTTTCCTCAAGTCAAAACGGCCAGGAGAACAACCAATAGTACCACCGCCAAAATCAACAACAAACAGCAAGCTCTGTTCCTCGCCGCCTTCTGGCTCCTGGCTGCCGTCGTAAGCTCTCTACTCGCAGCTCTAGTATCCGTCCTAGTATTGTCGATATTCGTCCAAACTCTCTCAACCATATGTCCCTGTTCAGTAACCATAGTTCCCAAATCCCTAAAGATTTCATTGAGCTGCGTAATTCCCTCTTCAATATCTCTAATTTCGTCTTCACGTTCCTGAATCATTGATTCTTGGAAGTCGACTTCGGATTGTGAAGCTAATTGTAGCTGCGCAGTTTGTTGGAGGACTAATGGCATTGTCTCGACGCCTTCGCCGCCACCGGGTGATGGGGGGTGGGATAGGTTCTCATCGTGGTGAGTTATGGTGTCTAGAGCTGTACGGGCTTGAATAACATATTGTCGTTGTTTCTCTAAGGAGAGCTTTTGGACTGCTTGGAAATCTGGAAGGGCGGCGGTGAATTCGCGAGAGAGCTTTTCTTGGATGAATCTTTGTTGTGGCTATTTTTAAAACATTTTATTAGATTATACTTTTCCTTTCAACCGGGTGTATGTATGTATGTATGTTTTTGCGCTTTTGCGTGTCGATATGTTGAATGACGACAAGAAGAAAGACGGGGATGACGTACGCTGACATTCTCCCACAACTGAACCTTCTTAACCCCTTCACCGATTTGTTTGAACCCATCCCTAGTCTCCGATAGGAGCTTTTGTAAACGCTCACGAGTTTCCTGCGAATCCTTCTTTGTCCCAAGAAGAGAGAGAACATGGTTCGCCTTTGTGATGTTGGAGGTGAGGTTGAAGAGGCGGGAGGAGAGGGATTGAGTTAGACTCTGGAATTCCGGGTCGTCCGAGTAGCCGGTTGAACGGTCGGTGGTGGGCTGGGATTCGAGGGATGAAAGGCGGGCGAACGACATCTTGTCTCTCCTCTTCCTCTGGCGATTCTAATATAGCAGTAGTGGCGATGGTGTAGTAGAGGTGGCGATAGTAGTGGAAGTTGAAGTTGGGGTTGAGGTTGAGGTTGTGAAAGATGAAGATGGAGAGAGAGTATGAGAGAATGATGTCGCTTCTGAGCGATGTCATGCGCCCAGTCTTGGCGTCGGCTATGCTCTTTGACTTGAGCTGCTTTGCTTTCGCGACTCCAATTACTTCCACCATCAGCATCGCGATATAATAGATACCGTCCTACATTACAGCTTCATCAACCCATATAAAATATAATAGAAGCTCCATCTTTAGCTTCAAAGTACCGCCATAATGAGCGTAATAATGTGTACCGCCGGTTACGACCACACCATACGGTATGCATATATCCCTCTCCCTCCAGACACAAAGAACCTTTCAACAGCTTTGTTCACAAACTAATCTTCGATGTTTCTTCTTTTTTCTCAAAAAAAGATTCTGGGAAGCTCTCTCCGGTATCTGTTCTCGTACAATCCAACACGCCGACAGTCAAGTTAACCGTCTCTGCATCTCCCCCGACAAACGTTTCCTCGCCGCCGCAGGCCACGTAAACGTAAAACTCTACGACATAAAATCCACAAACCCCGCCCCCGTACTTTCCTTCGAAGGACACACCAACAACGTCACGGGTGTAGGTTTCCATTGTGAGGGTAAATGGATGGTAACATCGTCTGAAGATGGAACCGTGAAGATTTGGGATACCAGAACGGGAACGGTGCAGAGGAATTATAGTCATGGAAGTCCGGTCAACGATGTGGTTATCCATCCTAATCAGGGGGAGCTGATTAGTTGTGATCAGGCCGGGAATGTTAGAATTTGGGATCTGGGAGAGAATAAATGTACACATCAGTTGATCCCGGAGGATGATGTGCCCGTTAGAAGTGTTACAGTCGCCACAGATGGTAGTATGCTCGTCGCCGGCAATAATACAGTACGTCTTGACCATATCCGTTATTTTAAGAAGAAGAAAAGGAAAGAATAATACTAACAAGATGAAATAACAGGGCAACTGCTATGTTTGGCGTATGATCCAAAACCGCGACCTAACCTCCCTCGTCCCCGTCACAAAATTCCAAGCTCACACAAAATACATCACCCGTGTCCTCCTTTCCCCAGACGTCAGACACCTAGCAACTTGTTCGGCAGACCATACGGCAAAGATATGGTGCGTCGATCCTCAGCAATTCTCACTAGAAACCACACTACACGGCCATCAACGGTGGGTGTGGGATTGTGCGTTTAGCGCAGATAGCGCATATTTGGTTACTGCTTGCAGTGATCATTTCGCCAGACTGTGGGAATTGTCGACTCAGAGTATTATTCGACAGTATAATGGACACCATCGTGGAGCGGTTTGTGTAGCTTTGAATGATTATAGTGAGAGGTAGCTTTCGATCGATCTTTTTGGTTAGTGTGAGGCCTTGGTGGGGGGTATTTGGCGTCTTTTGGCACGGGGAATGGCGTTAACGTTTCTTAGTATTGTTCCCTTTTTAACGAATATGTTACCTCATAACTAGCGATAAGTCTTTGATTCGGTACCAAAATGAAGCTATTCCGATAGAGATTCAATAGATAGATGGTAAACGACTACGAAGATACATTTAAATCATTCTAGTCTAAACGGTTATCTAAACGACAATCTAATAAATATATCGTACAAGCTAGATCCCGTGCAATCTCTAACTAAATACTAAGCTTCAATAAGAACTAAATTCACGGCAACTGATAACCTGCAGCTACCAATCCAGTCTTCAAAGCATTAATTGCCTTGTCAACGTGCCCCAATGCCGGGTTCGTCTAAACCACACAACCATCAGTATCGTCACAACTACCATTACTCCAAGGAGTAGAGGAAAGAAGGGAAAGAAACTCACCACTGAAACGCCCATACTTCCAATTCTAATATACTTCGTCGCAGCCTGCTTATGCAACCCACCAGCGAAGACAACCCCTTCCTTCGCTGTATGCGGCAAAATATCCGCTGGTGTAAGACCCTCCGGCAGCCAAACTGCTGTCATACCATGGGCTTGGAACCTCTCCTCACTGGCCAACTGTTTTAATCCAAAACTTGTGACTGCGTCCTTGATCTTCTTTGAAGCCGCTTTATGTTCTTCGAAGCGTTGGGAGAGAGGGACTGAGAGGATTTGGGTGAGGGAAGTATTGAGTGCGCGGACTAGCTGTGGGGATGGGGTGGCGAAGTAGGATGGTTTCTTAGCCTCATAGTTTTGCATTACTATATTCCAATTAGTATCTCCCTTGTAAATATCCTAGACTTGAAAGACATACTCGGCAACCAATTCTTCAAGCTAGCATAGTAGCTGCCCGGTGGTACCTTCCTGCTCTTATAAGTCTCGATAGCCCGTCCGCTCAACATCATAACTATTCCACAGTCAGCAAAAATCCATTCCCTCATAGCCGTCCAGAAGAAGGAATACATACTCGACAACCCAGCAGGCACACCAACCGCCTTCTGACTAGCTGTCAAAACCACATCCAGCCCCCACTCATCAAATCTAATCTCCTCACATCCCACACTGCAAACCCCATCAACAATCACCAAAGTCTCGGGGCTCACCCTCTTTACCACTTCCGCGACCTCTTTAGGATCCGACAACACACCAGTAGAGGTATCAGTATGCGTAATAGTAACAGCTTTATACTTCTTCCCCTTCAATGCATTTTCAATTTCCTGAGGACTCGGTCTAGACCCGATCGGTGCTCCCAATTGTGTAGGTTTAGCACCATAAGTGGCCAAACAGTCTGAAAACGAATCTCCAAAGTATCCGGTGTGGAGGACTAGGACTTCATCACCTGGTTCGATGATGTTCGAGGCGACAACATCCCAGCCTAGTGTACCCGAGCCACTAAGAATTAGGGGTTGAGAATCTGGAGAGCTGGTGATGAAGAGTTGACGAAGTTGGGTTAGAGTGTCGCCGAAGACGTGGACGAAGGGCATGCCGACGTGAGATTCGCTAGGAGTCGACATTGCTTGGAGGACCTATTAATATAGGTATTTATCAGTATATTTCCCTTTTTTTTCCCTTTACATTAAAGATTGTCGCTATATGCGAGGGAAAATACATACAGCATCATCGAATTCGATGGGTCCTGGGATCAGGACGGTAGGATGCTCGGCCTGTGCGCTCATTTTGTCCGGAGTAGTTGTAGCTGTAGTAGAGTACTTCAAAGCAGTCGAAATATTAGAAACCTTATTAGGTATATGGTTGTTCAGCTGAGATAATCTGGCAGATGCAGAAGAAGAGGATGTATTATATGAAGTCGCAGAAGTATTTGTAGAAATAGTTGTAGGAGCGGTGGAGGGGCGACGTGGGGCAACAGCGGCGGTAGAAAGAGAGCGTGAATGTGTTGCAGATGAGGTCAACCGAAGCAGCTGTCGGCCGTCCGCGTCCATCCGATCAGCTTGCAGAGATCTAACTTCGATCCTGCACCTTCTGCTGCTACTGTTCACAAGCCTACCTGTTCCTCGGGCGGCCGCTAGCATGTGCATGGTCAGTCAATTTTCTTTTTTTTTCTTTTTATTTCTATTTTGCTTAAGGTATGCTTCCCCGCAAAAAAGGATAACTAAGTACTACCTGGGCTATGTTATAATTATCGTCAATTGTGGTGCAACGGTCGGAACACGAGAGGGGGTGCGAATGCAGGCTTTGGGTTCAACGATAAATGGTCGGGAGGTGCCCGAGCTGTCTGAATTGAGGATTCACTTTGGTTTGCGGAGTAATTACCATGGATAAACATTAGTTCAATCGATCTGGGAACTGGAATCCATTTAATGACAATGGTCTGGTCTGGACCGACTGGGCTATTTTCCGGCGCTAAGACACCATCTTGCGGACCTGGCCGACATCGCTTGCTCCGTGTCGAGCTCTCTTGCCATATATCCGATGCAGCTGAGTCAGCTTTATAGCATCCAGACATTCACATCTAGTAGATATACCACACACAACGCAAATGCTTCACTTCTGTTATAATGTCTCGGTATGCATATGGTATTGCAATTGAGTATCTAAGTGATTCCTTAAAGGGTGGTTGCCACGATAGGTAGCGTAATATACTCGACAGTCTTCATCCTATCCTGTACCCAGGCCGTCTTGATCTGCAAAGATGGGCACCATGCATGGATATATAAAAGTCAATATGAACCTATGTAACTTATATATACCTAAGAAAGTACCTTATATGATATATAGAAACCAAAAGTATGAAGCCAGGTTGTCGATTCTTTGTATTGAATTCGATAGGAACCCCCTGGCCAATTCAGACTCCGCCCTTAAATCTATTCACGATCAAATCAATGGGATTCAATAAGTTGCTCCTCTTTCACGTATCCCCTTGACAAAGCTTGATATAGTGTAAAGCTAACCGATATGTATAATTGGAACTTGAATAGAGCAAGCAGTTTTTATTTATTACAATCGATCGTTCAAAAGCCAATACATAATAAAAACGACCAAATTAAATGGACGTAACAAGAGCATTAAGATACAAATCGCGCATGCTCAAAACTCTTCTTCGGGTGCATTATAATATGCACGACCTGGGGAAGGATATCTTGGGTTATATCGACGATTCATTTGATGAAATACAAAGTACTGTCCCCGATATTGGACGGAAATTCACAGGGTGTATAGGTATAATCAATGGCCCGTGCGCTACGAGGAAAAACTCGACTTTGAGCTTCGAGGTGCCGCAAACCACCCAAAAAAGATCTTCAAAGGCTATAACAAATCGACCAAAAAGGGCTGCTCAACGTACGTCCTCACACACGGAAAACGGGGAAATTCTATGATAATATGAAGGAGAAAAGAGTTTAGACTAACAGAACTACATTGCTAACCACATATTGCCTTTCTTATAGATTAGAATTCTGTTAAAAAATTCAAGAGAAAGACTTGGCTTTCGCATGCGAGGGCCATCTCAATGGCCGGTTTTTCATAACCGGAGACGAAGGTTTCTCCGGTTTGTTCAAATATTCATTGAACACAAAAGGCATAACCAATGGACTGCCCACAGTGATTTCGCAGAATCTATATCAACCTTGATAACCTTGAATGCCCCCACTCGTGGGAATTCCCGGTTCAGATACGGTGGCAATTTAGAAAGTCTTCCTCCGACAAACACTCAAGATCGGAGATTCGCTTTTTGAGATATAAGAAAGCTTGGATGTGCTGGATTACTTCGCGCCGCGACTTAATTGCTACCTACTACATCAAATCGAAAGTCCTCACTAATACTGTCAAGTAGCACCACCGATCACGACTCATCACATACCTACTAGTTGCACATCCCAGGTCGTCTTCTTTTCATTTGTTCACAATCTCCTACCCCGACAACCCAAGATACTTCAAGTCTAAGTTTAGAACAGAATCCCAGTTCTATAATCCCCCGAGCCTGACGCTAACTCACCAAGACCCAAATTGAAGAGATCTGGTTGGTTTAATCGCTGCGGGTAGAGTAACCCCAAAAACGCGATAGGATTTGAAATTTGATATTGTACACATTTAGTTAGTTGCTCTCCGCACTTTCTTTTTTCCACACAAAAGTTGGAGACTTAGTTCTGTTGAGAAAAAAAGTCAGCTCATCTACCGAAGCTCTCTCCAAGATCTGTGGGAGTTTTCAAAGTAGTCAAGCTAGCCAGCTGGGGACGCTCTGCTTGGTTAATTGATCCTACTACAGGAATACAGCGAGGAAGGTACTCACTGGATGATATGTCAATGTACGTTTCAAGGGGAAATTAGTTGGTGTTTATCATACTGAGTCTGGGTACAGGTGGGATTGATTATGTTTTAGGGTAGCTCACGCATCGGAAGTTGACCCGCCCAGTGTTAAGGCCGTCGATTGGGTATGAGTTTATAAAAATACGATACTTCCCTATAACTTTCTTTGACGGCCTCTTCTTGATTGTTGGGGTATATATACGTATCGTTTTAGTTCGAATAGGAGCCCGAGTCTCAAACCCTGGAAAATGAAGTGAAGTAAAGTGAACAAGAACACGGAAAGTAGTTCTTTTGCGAGAAATAACACTGTTACACGGAATTTATATTGCACAAATTAATCAAAATATGTATATACATGACCTGAAGTCTAAAAACTCTATTCAGTCCCCATTACATCAATATTGAAAAAGACGCCCTCAGTATATATCTATATACGCAATCAATAAATTTCTAGCCTCTAGTCCGGCGCTCTAATACTTGCCACATATATTAAAAGAAAAATGGGACCCCAATAGAAATATCCCAACTGCACGGTCTCTAAAAACTCGGGCGTCCAGATCTCAACAACCTGGCGGGCTATTTACACCGGAACAAAAATAATTTATTATAGAATTCTTTTGAAGAACAAAGAACATGGAATACACACTTAAAGTTCTAAAAGAGCTACAACGAGAGATTGGGAAGATGTCGGTGATTCAGGGTCAAGAATTAAGAGAATTGGATGGTTAGGGCTGTTATGGCAAGGTTGAGGGTTAGATATGACGTTAGCGGTTACACCATTTAAATTTATCAGGACTAGATTATTAGTTTTCGTATTTTACTTTTCTTATAAGATACCTTCTATACATATGATTCAAGATATAAAACATGTTCGTTCGTTTGAACGGTAGATATCAATTAGAATCCTGATATTATTTCCTGCGTTGAAGCGTGTTATTTTAAGCTCCCCGAAACGTAACCAAACGTAACCAAGCTTGCGCGACTTGCGACGACTTCCCCTCGACTCTACTACGTACAACCACCACCACCATCGTCATCCCTCATCACCATCCGACAAAAAAGAACATCCTCAACAGAGCCCATCAAACATCCGGCTTGATATTCCAAGATGACATCAAGACTGGTCCTCGCCCTCGGCGATCTCTTCATCCCAGATAGAGCTTCTGTAAGCTACCACTTTCACTAATTCAAACTTAGTTTGCGCGGACGCTAACATATCAACGCTTCATATAGGAGATACCAGCAAAGGTACCTACCATTCTTACCTCCCACCAGCTTTTGACACAATTTCCCATATACCCCATCCCCCACTACCATCTACACAATCTCCAAAAAAAAAGAACTACCAACAAAAAAAAACACAAGCTAACCACCAAACCGGCACACCTGGAGGGGGAAACCCCTCACCCGGTTCTCCCAGGGCCTTAACACCCCCCCCTCCTAGCCACTATTTTAAATTTTTTTCAAAATAAATAGTTCAAAAAACTCCTCGCCCCCGGAAAGATCGGTCAAATCCTCTGCTTGGGGAACCTAACCGACCGCGAAACCTACGAATTCCTGCGCTCCACCGCACCGGACCTTCAAATCGTCAAAGGTGACTTCGACGAATCTTCAACTTTACCTCTATCGAAGGTTGTCAAACATGGACAGTTTAGGATTGGATTTACTCACGGGCATACTATTATCCCGCCTGGTGATTCGGATTCTTTGTTGATCGCTGCTAGGCAGATGGATGTGGATGTTTTGATTTGGGGTGGGACTCATAGGTTTGAGGCTTATGAGATGGAAGGGAAATTTTTTGTTAATCCCGGGAGTGCGACGGGGGCTATGAGTAGTGGATGGTGGGGTACTGATGAGGAAGTTGTGCCCAGTTTCGTGCTGATGGATGTGAGTGTCCCCCCCTCAGACTTACTCACCCACTAGATAATTCGTGATTCTAACAAATTGTATAAACAGGTCCAAGGAAATAACCTGGTGCTTTACGTCTACCAGCTCAAAAAGGATGAGAACGGAAACGAAAGTATCGCAGTGGAGAAAGTCAATTTTAGGAAGACCGAATCGGCGGCGCCTGCACCCGCCCCAGCATAATTCGCGTCAATTCCCTGATAACGATCTTGCAAAGTACTCATCATCTACCCTATTTCTAATGACCGAGCTAGCAGTCTGTCTCCTTTTTTTCCATCTTTTATATTCAGTAGGATGTAAACCAACCTACAAGTAATACATTAAAATGCGCATAGCACACAACTTCTTTATATATCCTATCAATAAGAATAAGCCTCCCCCCAAAAAAAAACCCCCCAGTGCCTAAGCAATCATCATTTTTATCTTCAAAACCCAATATTACACACCCATAAACGCCCCTTATAGTCCATGCATAAGCTACCCATCTACCCCTCCCCCAATAAACTAAACTTCTACGCCCCAAACCTCGACCCCCCAGCAACATGTTTCTCCCCCGGCACCAAATTAACATGATCCCTAGGATTCGCCGCCGCCTCATAAAGCGTAATAACAGGCTCCCTCCCAACCTTCATAAAATCCCCTCTAAACCCCAAATACCAAATCTTCGTAACATCTTCATCATCATTATCATAACCATGATTCTCTTCAAAAAACAAAGTAAGACTTCTAACGTTATTAAATAACGCCCTTTTTACTGGAATTTCTATGATTTCGGGACGGGATGATGGGGGCACCAAAGGGATTTCGAGGGTTTGTGTGGGAGTTACGGATGTGGCGTTTGAGAAGTCGACGTCTGTGCGGTTTATGAATAGTTTGAGGGTTCGTGGAGAGGTGGGGTCTGGTGGGGCGTAGATTAGTAAAGAATGGAGCTTTACTATTCCCGCGAAACTATATATATAAAAAAATAATATCGTCATAACCGGTTTCTCATTAGCCCACATCGCATACCATTCTAACAATAGAAAGAAGAAGAAAAGGAAAATAAAAACATACGGAACAAACATAATCAACTCCTGATCACTATCACTCTCCAACTCCGGTGTAGTTTCCAACCTCTCATCCCAGGTTTTTCTCAACACCCGTTTCCCGGCATCAGGTTCCGATTCGTTAAGCGTGGAGACTGCATCAAAGTCAATACTATTATAAAGCGACGACTGAATCGCTGGTGTCACGTCGTCGTCGTGAGTGTGGCCCGCGTGATCGTGATCGTGATGGTCGTGATGGTCGTGACCGTCTCCGGCCCCGCTGCCGTGCGTGTGTTCATGGTGACAGTGTGACATTTTGCAGCTAACTTCCCCCCCTCTACCTAGCTTAAAAAAACCAACGGGTAGGACGGGAAGACTAAAATAAAAAATAAAAAAAGGTATTTAAAAAAAAAGTGGAGTCGTAACAAGTTTATAATTTAGTAACAAAGGTTGTCAGCTGGATTCGATGGTGGGGTTTTTTTGGATTCTTGTCTTTCGTTGATATGCACCACTACGTAGGTAAGTAAGTACTTACAAAGACGTTGGTTTGGAGGGTGGAGGTTACAGACAAAGCGACGTTATTGGCTGGATGTCTTTCGTCATGTTGGATGTTGTGCAGCTCAACACCATGTTCCACCTTGTAGGGCTGAATATAAAGAGAAAGAAAGAAAAAAAACCATACACCATTAACACCCCCCCAAGACGCTTGAAAGGAGCGGGAAAGGAGAGCTCATGGGGTCAGAGGACCTCTTGCAGACGGTATTGTCGTCTAATTTACTTGGTATTACAAACGGGAATGCGGGTATACGACGGGAAGTTTGTGATCCTTTACGTCATGGTAAAATTTTTTTATATCATGAGAACTCGAATACATATGCATATACCCCGCCATCCGAGCACAGGTCATGTTTATAGAAACTCTTAGATCCGAGAGGGGTCATGTTTGAGAAAAATCATAAATGAGGCTCTAAACTATACGAGGGGGGGGGGGGTGCATATGCGCAGGAACAGTCTGCAGAATGCACGATGGAATATCTATCACGACCTTCTGATACACATCATCCATGGCCATGGTCAAGAAAGCCTCGTCCAGTTGATGAACCGATCTTTCCAATCAAAGAACTGAAACCGCAAAGCATGACTAGAATCTTGCAGATACCCCGGCAGGAAGAAAGAAAGAAAACAAGAAAAGAATCTGACAAAAGTCCCCATTGTTCTTTAGGACTCTAGACTCATGACCCTTCTCTCCAAGATACCAAGCTCCGAAAAACGAACGGGACGTAAGTACTTTCGAGTATCTTTTTGAGATACTTCGCATATTTGCAACATTGATCCAAAAAACAGACAATCGGTGCCGCAGGTACGGTCGAAAATGCCTATACCGGGCTTTGCACTTCCTTATCCTTGTAGAACCTCGGAAATCCATAACGTACTCGATACTCACGTCTCTCCACTTCTTCCCTGTCCTCCCCTCTCCAAATACCTCCTCGTGACGACGCCTCCAACGGAATATGATTCCATCTGGAATCAAACACTGCCGCATACGTATTCCGGTAACATAGTATTGCGACCAAACTCCCCAGTATTGCGCCAGCCAAGATATCGTGCCAGTGATGTGACTGCATGGGATCCCCAGAAAAATGAGGCACATTAGTCATTTCCGTTCTCCCATATCCTCAGAATACCCCAGAATCTCGTCTGTTTTTTCCTAATTCATGATGCCTTCCCGGTCCCAGGTTCCAAACTTTCTTTGACTTTTTCCACCCTTTCTGACCTTTTGACCTTGTGTATACGAGGAAAGCCCATTTCGGCTCCTGAAACACACATGTTTCTCGGACATGGGGAAACATAAAAGGGTGACTTACCATATCAATAGATATCGCCCCAGCCATAAGCACCGCCAGAACCAATGGCGACAGGCATAGCACTATCAACAGCGGGTTAGCCCTGTAGTCGGCAAATATCTTAAGTTTGGCATTAAGATATAACGACAAGAAAACAGCTGCCCCACAAGCGGTCGCGACATGGCCGCTCGGGAAGCTTTCCAGTCTAAGAAAATTTTGCATCGCGCCCCGCGAGTCAGCTTCGGATTCCAATTTAAGAAAATTTTCATGCTAAGGCAAAAAAAAAAAAGACTCTCGTCTCGGAAGAATTCTGTTATTACCCCCAGGCAATCATGTTATGATCGCCAGTGCATATTTCTGACTTAAAATATGTCCCATCGTATCCCATGCCATGATGCACCCCAGGTCGAGGACGGCATAGCTCCAGAAACCCCGGACGGAACCCTCCTATGAAAACCTTCATGATAACTTGGAAAAAGCAGCTGAAGAGAAGATATCACATTAGCAAAAGACCTCAAAAAAAAAAAAAAAAAGAACATCAATGCACACATATTTTCATTTATCCCTCGGATTCTAGTCTTGGACGTCTAGGAATAGTATCAAAGTAATACCCTAGATCCCAGCTAATCCCTCGTTCCTTAGGATAAACTATTTTGCTCGTAGACGTACCATATCAATAAAGAATTAACGACCCCCAACATGGCCCGTGCACAGTCCCTCATGCTCCCATTATTGCATATCAAGTTTAGCAACCCGACAACAAAGCCGGGAATTCCGATTTCCAAGACGGCACTCAGCCAGAACGGAATGATCTGTCTACGAGCGGGGTGATCCAGCTCACTTGCGCCAAAATAGAGAGGAGAAAAAGTGGAAGAAGCAGTAGAAGCAGTAGAAGTAGAAGCAGAAGCGTATGTGGAACTCGTATTGTTCAAACCGGCAGAAGGTATCCGAAAGTACCTATGGTTCCCACCCACATTTGGCATCCACTTGTCAAGGCTAAGGGTTACCGCACCAATCCACAGAATAACGAACCAGTCGAGACCACAACGGCGGATACAGTCGTAGACGGGTGGGGGTAGGCAGCAAAGCATGGGAAAGGGTCGCCTCGTAATTGGCAATGAGCCTGATGTCGGCCTGGTCGGCTGAATCCCCACAATACTAGCTGCTTCTTCCATCACATTCACTATTTTTCGATGTGCTGGTTTGCTTTTTGAAGGATCTTTTCATAGCACTTTTTCGGGATGATTTCCAGTGCAGTGACGAACGTCAGGAGCCACTTCTTCGGGACGTGGTGGCATATAACCCTCCAGGCTTTTTGGTTGTGGTTGGCTGTTTTGAGGGAATTATTGATTAGCCGACTAATGGACAGGCCTGGCCCAGGGTCTATTGCAATTGAAGACCTTCAAAGGTGATTGGGGTAATTTTGATCCTCGAAGAAGTTCTCATGCATGAACGGAAGATGCACATACAAGGCAAGGGTTGCAACAAGATATCCTTTGGGCACTGCACTGATAAATATTGCAATTTGGGGGTACAGCTTGTGATAGTAGTTAGATCCTGTCGACGGGTCCGCAAGTGGGGGGAACCCTCCAACTACCTATACTATACTACAGAGGACGGCTCAATTAGCTCGAAACGCCATGTTCAGATGTGATTAGGATGTAACAATCGAAGCCATCATACCACAATCCGGCGTTATCACTATTGTTGTTCTAACTTTGACGCCCTGGTCGGGATCTGGTGATAAGAAGCTTCAATGCCACCACACCGTCTTCACCCTGCCCGATGCTAGCGGTTATGTAGGTTACGTGCGTGGAACAAGGAACAAGGGCAGTAAGAAAGATGGAAAGGCGAAAGAGAATGAGATCCGAGGACGATGGCTTGCGTGACTATCCCCGATACAGATTACTGACCCGTTCGAGATGGAGTTAAAAGATATTGATTCGAAGTTTTTCGTTCTCGACAAGTTCAAAAAATAAATAAAAAAGAAATAAATAAAAAGACCCAATTGATGCAATGCGGAAGCAAAGAAGCGAAGCATGAATGGCCTGATCCTTTCTCTTCTCTCTGTTTTTTTTCAAGTTTCAATAGTCTGCATGGATATAGTTAATGCAACATTTTGAATAAAACTTTTTGTTTCTCGTTCAAATTGTCTCTGCGCTTTGATGAAAAATGTCTGAGATTCTCAGCCCGTCCCGCATCGATCTGATCTGATCTGATCTGACCTGACCATTAATATTATATTAAATAAGCCGTGTCGGAAATTTATTCTTTTTCTTTCACTTCCTCGTGGACTTTTTTGGCGACAGCACCGACGAAAAAGGCGTTGAAAGGCGTTTTGAAAAGGGAGATTTGATCAATCGAAATGGAAGAACTTGCAAAATGTCATGCCATTGTCGCAGCAATCGTGGAAGCCATGGCGTTCTGGCAGCCAACCAGACAGCTCGGAGACAGTTATCCTACCAATCCGCTCGATTTATTGATTGGCCATGCGAATGCATGATGCGTCAATAGCATGGCTAGTATGTATGTGTACTGTGAGCCGCATAACAAAAAAAAGAAGAAGAATTGGCACATCGGTTTCGTTCGGCGTCTCCGTTAACCGGATTTACATCCGGCTGAAGGCTTCCGTTTGCTCGGATCTACTATTTTTTTTCTCTCTCGCTTCTTTCCCTCGATCCTGTCCCGATTGCGACGACGGGCAGAAAAAGCTGAAATTGCATCGTCCGCCGAAAATACCTCGAAAGGGTAGGCTCCAGGGACTCACGAGGAAGGCGCACACGACGAGCTGCATGCATGCAGTCGAGTCAGTCAATACTCCTCAACAAAAAGAAGATGAAGAATAAGTCACAAAAAAATACAAGAAAATACCTAAGGAAGGAAAGAAAGAAAGAAAACAAGGTGCACAAATGGCCGATCCAATCGAAGTTTGGATCTGATATGTCGTCGATATGCTGCAGTGCAGCCCCCGCTAAAGCAATTAAATTAATTAAATCGCGGGCTGCAGCAGCAGCTCAACTAACTAGCTTAGACGAGCAAAAGCTAAATTATGAAGCTTTTCAATTGATCAAAAAGCTAGTTTCTTACCGAAAAACTCTAAAGTATATACCATACTAGTAGGTAGTAGTAGTATACTGCTTCTACATACTAGAGTCAGCCGAAAATCGATCTCGATCTTGAACATCCCCCCCCTCTTGATCAAATGGAGAATACCGCATGGACACGTACACACGTACACGCACATGTTCGTGTTCGGGTTCAGATTCATGTCTATCATGTAGATTGACATCAAAGCACAGATGGGAACAATACCTCTCAACCTTCCCCTTATCTTCCCTCCGCCCCCCGGATGATCAATGATCACGCTTTGTAATTTAGACTTTCGAGGTTCTGGATGAGCCTATTGATTGAACCGGGAACCGATGATACAAGACATAGTAGTAAGTATACGGCCGTCTTGATACTAGCGTTATTCCTTTTTTTTGTTGGAGACAGGAATTCGAATTGAATCGAATCAACATTTTGCTGAGGGGGAAGGTGAAGTTACCGAAAGAATTCCAGGAACCTCATTTGAGATCTGTGATCACCTTTTTCCTTCGGGAATACGATCCGGAGAATGTGATCATACGTAGCTCGAAGGAAAAAAATCAATTCTTTTCTTCAAAAAAATTTGACACGGTTAGTTTCATTTTCAAGGAACCAAGCAGGAACCGTTTTGGAACCAAGGAACCCCTCTACGCTTAAACCCAACCCTGTCCTATGACGTTGACGATGTCAAAGAATTCTCTTTTTTTTTATACATATCCTTCGGGATGATAATCGTGAAAATTTTTTTAAAAAATAAAAATGAAGATTCTTCATATCCACTCATCTAATCACGATTCTCCATACCAAGAGTTTTTTGAGGTAATATAATTCCAAAATAGCGAATAGTATCGTATAGTATACCACTAATCGTCTCGCCTTCTACAAACCTCGATCATAACTGTCGATCTAGCTCACCCACCTCACAAATCCCAAAACATGTAGAACAGGGTCCCCTCCCCCCCTTCGAAATTCATACTTCACTTTTTGTTCTTCCGTAAGCCGGAAATCTGCACACCAACTTCTCAAACACATCATCATCTATCATATCAATTCCAACAAATAAATTCAAAAGCCGATCTTCGGCGCCTCCCACATGTGTTTCTTGTTCAAAAAGAAATGTATGTAATGTAGGCATGTATCATGTACGTACGGGGTGTAGGTAAAGGTAATAAGATAGTTGGATGGATGTATCAGTTAATCCATAGCCAGCTGCCATATCGATTTGCCTCCGTCGCTTTTGTTCCTTGCTTCGGCTTCGGCACGGGTCCGCCGCGACTCTCTCTCTCTCTCTCTCTTTCTTCTTTTTCCCTTGTGCCTGTTTTTTTTCCTATGAGTCTCATTTCGTACGGCACTTGCAATTGGTTTAAGAAAAACCTTAAACTAGGTATTCGGTATGTTGTAGACGTGTAAACCGCTAGTTACTGTATCACCTTTTTACCGAACCCGTCATCATGTAAAACACCTAATCACTAGCCTTCGCGCGATATACCCGACCCAATAGCTAAAAAAGTCGGGTCATCTCAATGCATCCACGATTTTTATCCCCCATGGTTGTTTCCCGACGGAAGGCCTCGGTCGAGTCGTGCCATAAAAAAAAAATAAAAAATAAAAAAATTTTAACGACTAATAACCCATCTAGCATAGCGGCTCCCTCTCTCCTTCCACAGTGGTACTTCATGATCATTATATGCGTTGGCAAAACCCATCTGTCTCTGAATTACCTATTTCCTGCCGACTCGACACCCGAATTAATGTCTAACATAGCCGTTCCGTAAACATATCAAACCAATCCCGATAATACCCCCCCTCAAAACGGTTAAAGAGAAGAAAAAAAAACATCCCGAAGATATTCGTAATTTTTCAAGGGAGGGGTCTTCGTATGTATATGTATATGTATATGTATATGTATATGTATATGTATATGTATATGTATATGTATATGTATATGTATATGTATATGTATATGTATATGTATATCAAATTGTCTGGAATGTTGGCATCATAGCCTTGGTACCACGTTGCAGACCGACAAAGCAAGATACCGTTCGTACATATACATAGTATACATATACATATCCGTATGTAATTAGTTTAGTCCCTATGGAGTAAAGTATATGTAATGCACATACCATAGCAAGGAATAAGAAGGGTTGGCGCTTGAGACTAATCGTAGTTAGTTTTTTTTTTACAGTCTTAAGTACCTTTAACTAACATCCCACTCATGTAACTATCCCGATGTAGTACCTATAGGCTTTCCCGGCACAAAACAAAAAGCAGAAAATTTTCCTTCCGAGCAATTCGGACCGGAAAGAATGGACATTTTCTTACTTGCTTAGCAAGCCAGTTAACTAGCTAGCTAGCTTAACTACCTAGGTAAGTGACGAGGCAGGAACAGCTTGCTTTGAAAGCTCGAGGATGATGTGATACACAGCTGATACTTACCCATTACTTCTACTTTCGACTTTATAAGAAACATAGAGCTCTACGGAAGCTTAAATCTGGGCACAATGACATAACCCTCGATTCGATTCACTACCTTGCTTCCTGCTTCCTGCTTCCTGCGTACCATAACGGGGCCAACCTTAATGGAGAATTTCATGACATGACATGCAATCCAAAGACCCTGGAAGCCCTGGCAAAGTAGCCTCGAAAAGTGATGAGGCAGGTTAGTGATACTGCTTAATTACGCCACTTCCGCTCAACAGAATCAAACGAATTCCTCCCGGCTTTTTTCGTAAAAAAGTAGATCCGGTGACGGGAAGATCGATATCCAATTCGAAAGGAAGTATATACTTCCTTGCTTGCTTGCTTGCTTGCTTGCTTGCTATACAGCCAAGGGTACTCGGAAGGTTCAATGGATATATCGCCAAGGATACCCTACAATCGTAATAATATACACGGAACGAGTTAAATACTCAAGTAACCAAGTACCTAGAATATACACCAGCAATGCCTGCAGTACAAAAACCGAATTGAAACTCGATGATCGATAGAATAAAATACAAACATCACTTGACAATTGCGTGCGTGAATAAAAGAACAACCCTACCAAGAAGTAGTATGTACTTACTTACAAAGACCGGGACTATCTTGGCTCAAAACGTCAAAGTATTCACGAAACAACGCATACTTTGTTACAACAAACATGCTTGGTTCGTAGCGCACCACGGCAGCCGGGCTGGCTTGCTCCATTAACTTTTGCAAATGCTTGCTGATGCCGGGTCCATTGCCATTGAACATCCCAGCAGTATCAATCAATTTAATCCATGGACCCCGCGAAGACTGGCCTCGAATCCGATTTGCTCAAATCACATTTGATATCTATTCTTATATTGTATCCGAAAAACAAAACTCAAAAAAATATTCCGAATGGACTGTATGAAATTGAGATTCAGGATCCTCCGTAAACCACTCAAAAAAGCCGTTACCCATTGAGAAAAAAAATAAAAATAAAAAAAACCACCTCAGCCAACATATCCGACTGCAGATACCTCCGTGAATACTTACAAACCAACCAACCAATCCTTTTCCTCAACAAATGAGGCTGCGAGGCGTTACGCCCTGAGAGTGAAAGAGTGAGAAAGTGAGAGTAAATTTCTGCATCGCACTCGCACTTTGCCATTTCATTTGCCCTTCCGTCTGAACAAAAAGTACGAAACAGCATACATACATACACATACATATACTTTTTTGACTTCAAACCGGCTTAAAACCACCCAATCCGATCCAATCGCCTCTGCACTTGAGTGCGTTATTCGCCTCTGCAGGAAATAACATGAAAAAAACCGTGTACAAAAACGAACAAATTTCATGCATTGCATACTTTTACTTTCCTCAAGGCGCTGGGAGAGTGAAAATCCTCACAAGGAATAGCCTTGGATCCTACTAATCGAACCATCCTTCTCCCAGGATTTTTCTTTTCGCCAATTAAGCATCGAGGGCCGGTAGCAGGCGGGACGGGATGTAACGGAGACGTGTATGTAAGAACACTCTCGGTACCCAATATCGGACAGTCCTCTCGTGAATCACAAAAAAAAAAAATAGGGGGACGATCGCGGCTTGGGAGCTTTTTTTTTTTTTTCTTCGTCACCTTTTGAGACATTGTTTTTGGGGGAAGGGGGTGGAAACATTTGAGTAAATTGAGACAAAGCAAACCTGCTATTGCATATCACCAACTTTGTATGAAGAAATAGTCCATAGTATGTGGTAGTAGAACCAGTGGTAAACAGAAGAAGGGGGTGAAATACCCACATATACGACGTTTCGAAAAACCCTCAAGGTCTGCCAGAATAGTGCAAGCCTAAGGGGAAGAAGAAGACCAGCGGTGAGAAAGCTACATACATGCACAGCTGGTGCCAACAAAAAAAAAAAAAAAAATCCACAAAAAGTCTCACCCATCACTTGCACCAATTGCCCTTTACGTTCGGGAATATGATATTCATGAATTCGTGAATAGGGAATAGGAAGGGGGGGAAGGGGAGGGAACCATAATTCGATCCTTGGCCTTAACGGCTGCTCCCGATATCTGGGGAAAGGAACGAAAATTAAAAAAAAGAGACCACCTTCTGCCCCCATCACATCTCGCATAAATTAGCCCAATTTCAAGGGAAACAGGCAAGCAGAAGAGATTGATTGATATATGTATGTATCTTTTTTGGATCCGTATCCGGATTCAATTGATTATCAAGCCAAAGGCAGTCCACCTTGCTGCTGCTGCTGCTGCTGCCTTTTTTCTTTTCTCCCCTTGTCGCCGCGTATATAACGAAATCCCAAAAGATAAAAAGAAGTAGTTTTATATTGGAGCATTTCGTGACATTCTATTGAACGGAACCTCCCTCCGTCCCGCAGAATGGGCGCCTTCTTCTTCACATATACATATACACATACATATACTTACCGAAAACAATATAGGATATACGCGCCTTACGCATAAGCTGCATTCTTTTCTGTAGCCGTGATTCCTGTCAAGAAGGAATCCAAAAAAAAAAACGCGGGATGTAAGTAAGTAAGTAAGTACAGTCAGTGCAGTGCAGTGTGGGGTGGGTCTTCCCCCTGTTGTACTGGAGCGGATAGCACATAACACTCCCGTTGCCATTAAGCGAAACGGAAGGCTACCCACTCGAAATCCATGAAAGTCGAGACATTTTGCGGAGAAAAATAACGTCGGTGTCCCCCTTCTTCTTCTTCTTCTTTTTTTACTTTTTAAAGCCATTGCCTAGTATATGCTTAGCAGTTAGGTTTTTTATGCGTGAGAAGAAGGATATAAGCACATTTGATTCTTTTCGCGATTGATTTGTGGGATATCCGTGGAAAAAGGAAAGTCTTAGCTGCTGCTGCTGCACTTCGCAGGATCTTTCTGTACAATGTATACACACATACCCACATACTTACATACATGTAGCACAACGGGAAAAAAGAGAGAGAGAGAAAGAAAAAACGATGCCCTGAGGCGGATAAAAGACGCTGGTTTCTGGATAATTAGGACCGTTCGAGGCCTTTAAGGAACGAAGGAATTGCAATTGACTTTTTTTTAATCCACCGTAATACAAAAAAAAATATCTTAATTATTTTTTATTTTTTTATGATAATATAATCCTAATTGTCAGAATAGGATCGAATTGAATGAAATACAGACTTCTCTAACATCCTAGGTTAGGCAGGTACTCGCAGCCTGTCAATGTCAATGGTCATAGCTTTTATCATCTCCCCCCCCCCGTGCTTTTTCTTCTTCTCCCTAATATCCCCCTTCCCCTTCCCCTTCCCCTTCCCCTTCCGTTCGGCGTTCGGTTTTGGCACGGACTCCGCGAGACAACCGAAAAGAAAAATTTTAAATATGTTGAAATTTTTTCAGCTTATGAGCAATACGGAAGTTCTCTCTCTTAACTTGTGCAAACAGAAACTAACTAACGAAAAAAACTAAAAGAAGGAAAAAAAAAAAAACTTGAAAACCCGGGGACGGAGTCAATCGGTTCCGAATCCCCCTTCACTCGCTCGGTATGTTAACCTTTTTTTTTTGTTTCTCGCTCAAAAAAACTTCGAAACTCGTCATCCTCATACTTTTTAGTAGCAAGCAAACAAGCTGGTTTGTATGGCGATTCTTCGGAAAGATCTAGAAAAGAAAATAAAAAAGTTTATACAATACACACACACACATACATACATACCAAACGGCGAACTCAAAGTATCGCAACCAGGTCATAAAAAAAAAAAAACCTTCATATCATCCGGCTCGTATCCGGTGGTCAATGCCTACAAGCATGAGAACTGTTCTCAGCTCATACATAGGGCAGAGCGAGCGCACACTCGTATTCGTCTCCGATTCGTAATTGTGAAAATTTTTTGTGAGCAAAATGAGATCCGATCAACTTTTTTCTTCTTCGCACACCGCAGTAAATGCGTGCGTGCGTGAGGTATGGGGAAATCGCATCATCAACGAATAATCACAATGCATAATCGATAGTTTAATGTGGTAGTTAGTTAGTTAGTTAGTTATGTATGTAGTAGCAGCGGTGATTGTTCGCCCTGCCCTGCAGTCGCAAAGTGGAGGTCGAGGTACAGCTCGTAGGGCCACCCATTCATTCGATTCGATTCATTCACATACCCGCTTGGGCGAAACCACAAGGGACGGGAGGGGAGGGGGATCCGGGAACCCTCTCGATACTGGTCAATGAAGAAATTCATCTACAAGATCTACGGGTTCACCAGGTGTTCTTTCTTTTGTGTTTGGTTAATGATTTGATTTCATTTGATTTCTTTCGGCCTTGGTTTTTTTTTCTTTTAATGTACATTGATGTGGCATAAGAGGCATTTTTTTTTTTTTGAAGCCTCGAAGTGTCCACCCACACACGCACGTTCGACGTGGGAACGTGGTAACTAATCGAAAAAAGAGTAGTCATCGAGCGATTTATTTCAAGTTTGAAAAAAAAATCGTCGAGCTTCTTTCTTTCTCGCTAGTTGAGTTTTTTTTTTTTGCAAAACAAAGGGAAATGATGAAATTCGAAAGAGAAAAGAAAAATCCCAGATAGCAAAATCCCCAGATAGATGATGAAACTCCCACCCTGCATAAGACAACATGATATTTCGCCCGGGTAAAAAAGTAAAGAGGAAAAAAAAAGATGAAGTAAGAGGGAAATCCAACCGCTTGCAAAGTTCGTGAAAGGAGAAGAAGAAGAAGAAGTTATGAGTGGGAAAATAAAAAACATGCCCAAGTTGTTCTGCGGAAAAGACCCAATACCACCATTGTATAAGAACGACCGTTGCTATTCGTGAGGTTGAATTTGGATTTACCCCCTTACGCCGAATATGTCGGAATGTTGGGATATAAAAAAAACTGTTCTGGAAGGGTAATTAAAAGTATGAGGCCTTGTGCAGAGGTAGTAGTAAATATACATGAAGAGAAATAAAAAGAGTAGGAGAGAGGAGGAGGATGGTGATGAGAGGTAGTCGTCTCCGGCATTCTCTATTTGTGAGATGACGAAGATTTGAGCTGTCGGGAAGGGGATGATGTTCCGATAAGGAAGAGTAAATAAAAATAAAAAAAGACTTTTGTAGAAACCCAGTTGTAACCCCGTTAAATGCCGAAAATGGTATATTTGTTTGGTTTTATAGTGGTATAAATGATGAGAAAAGAAGATGAGAAAGAGGAGAGCAATGCTACGTTAAGAGGCCGTGATATTGATTTGAGGTGAGAGGAGTGTGGGTGGTCGAGGCGGACGGTTTCACGTCTAGTAGATGGTCATTCGTCGCTTGTTATCCCTGACCTGATCGAAAGCATTGGCGTAGTCATTAAGCTCTCGAAGGGCCTTTTCGGATAGATAGGATTGCTCGAAGGGCGAATGTTGGGAAGGCATCGAGGAAAGAGATGTCCTTGATGGAGATGGATGTAGGTTCGAACCGGCGGAACCTTTCCTGCCATTGGAGTTACTGGGCGGCAGCCATGTTGGGTTCGACCTAACTGGAGATCCAGAGGAAGTCTCATGTGTCCTTGATAATGTAGAGAAGTTGAGAGCAGGAGGTAGGTAGAATCCGCCAGGGGCACCACTTGTGCTTGTGCTTGTGGCAGTCTTTGGAGACGAACTACACGAAGCCCGTTCCATATCTGCCAGACGGCAGGCCTGTGAGCAGTATGCGGCTCCGTTTGGTGCTTCCCTATCGCAGGAGAGGCAGTAATCGAGAGACCATTCAAAAGGCATTGTGAAAGTGTGTGTGTGTGTGTAGTTTTGTGAATTACGGTGTTGATTTTCTTTTTTTCTTTTTGGGTCGACGAGTTAATGAAGAGAGCCTGGCTCTGTATCTTATATATATCACTTCAATAAAAATATATTCCGATGCAGTGGAGCAGACGTTGCTGATATACGGAGATGTCGATAGATTGGGGGGAAGGTTCAGGCTATGTAGTGTCCGAATGAGGGAGCAGCACCCGATGGTCGTAGTCGAAAGGGAGTGGAAGGATGAGTTGAATGCGTCAATGCATGTAATGTATGTAAGGTGTATGTAGCTGATTGAAGGGACTGTGGTTGTTGGAGATCCAAGCCAAAATATATATATAACTTCCAGACGCGAATACAAGAGGTCGTAGAGGCACGGAAAGTCGATATGTTGGAGGGGAGCAGGATGTATTAAATATAAGTCGGAGCAGCAGCAAGCAAGCAAAGTGAAGGGTGGATGTCCTCATACATGCTGCTAACCAACTAACGACTCTTAACCAAACCCACACCACACACCACACACCACCACCACCACAGCTCTGGCTGGCTCAGCGCAGGCAGGCTGTCGCTTTTGCTTTTTGTTAGTAGGTTTCTTTTTCTGACTTTTGTTCGATTTCCTCTTGATGTTTTGCTTTTTGAGAGAGAAAAATATGTTTTCTTCTTTCAAAAAGGTCAGTATGGGCAGGGGTTCTGAAAGTGGACTAGCGCTTCTAATCCAAGTTAAACTTAGTGACGAGGGCCCATTCCTCTGAGAGAGTGGAGGATTCGCCCAGCGTGATATTGCGAGAGGGTGTCGTGCTTGATGGCTTCAGATATTGATGATTCCCGTACTGTTAAGATACAGTACGTATATCTGGAAGCGATGGCGTAGATGATACAAGGCAATATGGGTACGTATCTGTCAAGAGACATCTCCACCAGACTTATCGATTCTATGCTAATTCTTTACTTCTTCCTCTTAAGCTCTTCTTCTTCTTCTCCCAAAAGCAATGCTTTTACAATTCTCTCATACGTTATTATCGCTACTGTGTACACAGTGCAAGTATAGGTATGAAGGGAGTATGATGGAAGTACGTATTGTTTGGGGAGAGCACTGATCAGCGCACACATGGCCGCCCCTCTTTCTTGCCATGAAGTACCGCTTTGTATCGTCATTTCTCTTGTCTTTTTGCAATTTTGTTTTCTTTTTTTCCCAGCTAGCTCAAGTTGACAAAACCAACTTAGCCAGCTGCCGCTTCACTCTGGCCCCTGCCACCAGCTCGGGTCTCTATGGCCAGGGTATCTCATATCTCCCAGATCTGGCCACTCACGTCGCCCGGTCGTTGCGACTCGCATTCAAGTATTGCTTTCATATAAACGCTGCCCTAAAGCGACTTCACTTGAAGTTGAGGTTTTTTTTTACCAAGTTTGTTCTCATAAATTGTTAATACAATATGTACTGAATGTACCCTGGATACTAGGTATGTCCATGTGGGGAAGCATCACCAAACTCTCTTGTCCTTTTCTTCCCTTGTCCGCTCCCGCTTCCCTGCTTAGCAAGCAACTCCAACCTCAAGGGACCGATCGCCAGACAGAAAGGAAAAAAAGTGAGAAGATTTGACAGATATTGCTCCTGAGATTTCAGGTTTGCGCTTCCTTATCCGGAAAGTGTAGCGCTAACATCGCCCTCGATGAAAAAAAAAATCTTTTGGGGTTCTTTTGTTCGGTTTTCAATATTGGACGGACAGCCCATCGAGCTAACCCTGCGATTGGTTAAGCGGATTTTTCCTTTCATAGAAACGATGGCACGGCAGGTACAAGAGATACATGTACGAGTTCGACTCCCCCAATTCTTTTGCATTCCATCCTACGTGATGTACCGCCTGACGCCTCCGTGGACTGGAAAAGGCATCGGAGGTACCCACACACCGGCCACCAGAAAGATACTGAGCCGCTCTGACGGGTGGCCTTGTAACCCAAAGGGCGTGTCGTCTGATCATTATTTCGTCTCAGTGCCTTTTCATTGACGACTGCTTCGTACGCTTTCCCTAAAACGATGGAGATTGTTGGGATGAAAGGGAATTAAGATTTTGGCTCCTCGGAAACTACGGCAATCGATAAAAAAAAACACCTCGTTCGTGAACAAGCCTCAATATGGTCCCAATTGCCCAAAACATTGGTTGCATACTCCCACAGGGACGTGGTGATGGTGATGGTGATTATGAAGAATAGCGCTTTGATCCGATCGTCTATCCTGATACCGAATCTCAAGGGGGAATGCATTGCATGCAATGGCCAGATATGACCCTTGAAAGGGTGAGGGTCTATCAGCTTCCCCGTTCGAGCATTTTGCATTTGGGCATCAATACATTGCTTACACAGTACATTACAGGGCGAGTAAGCCCCCCACCAGCCGTAAAAACTTCCAGCTTCATATACGAAGATTAAGCAAAACGGAATCATGCATTGCAGGCAGCGTACATACATACCGTATGTACGGCATCATGCTCACTCACTCAGGACATCTCGGTCTCCATCGAGCGCCAGCCCCCCTCACTGTCTCTCATTGCGAGCAACTATGTGTGAACGCTCCCGTCAGAAACGAAAGTCTGGGGATACTTTTTTTTCTTTTCGGTTTTGACGGGGACTGGAGTATCTTCCCATTTCAGCCTTTTCTTCCCCAGATTTTTGTTTTGTCGGTGTCAAAGCGTTTAGCTCCTATGTTCTTTTTTTTTTTTTTTCGCTCGTCTCCCCCTGCAATGACATCCTTTCTCTCCCTTCTGTCACAAAATTTTTTTATTTAACATAGTAACAAAAAAAAAGTTTTTTTTCCCCGGTCTAGCTCGCTAGCAATGACCATCGTCGTTTGTGTTTGACCCGTCGGAAACGTTGGAAGCCCCCAGAAAGCCCTCAGGCATAGTTGCCCATTGCTTACTGGCCAACATTCAGGGACCCTCCCTCGTAGTCGCCGTAATAGCCCCATCTGTTCTGCTTCTCTCTCTGCGTTAATATGCAATGCACAAAGCACACACAAGTTTCTGCCTCCCCAAGATGATACAAAAGTACGACTATACACAGGCTATTATGTGAAAGTTTACTAATTGAACCATGACCTGGTAGCCTTACTCCGGAGAAACCAATGTACCCAAGTACCCCAAGCTATCAGTGCGAGATGAAGGGCTGCTATCCATTGGACGAAACAGACCACCATCTTCCATTAATCGCTCCCAAGATCTTGGAAAATGCGGAGAAGGCAACGAAATTGGATGGCGCTTTCTTTTTTTTTTGTCACCCGCAGTTAAGCTCGTAAACCTCAAACTAAGGATTCCAGCCCATTTTTGCTATTACATAGTATGGTAAAAGTATGCAAGTGCATATTGCATTTACTATACTACTAGTATTCATTCAAAACACCTCGTGTCCGGGCTGTTCAATTAATAATATATGATATACGACATGAGGAGACGCCATCTATTACAATCGCTCAGCTGACCGCCTTCAAACGCTGCCTTTTTAAGTTCACAGGCTGAACTCGAAAGCGTGCCGTGTCGTAACGACATCGATTCGTGGCTTGAAGGTCCTCGCAACACACCATCTCCATCTACAACACCCTCTTCTCTTCAAACATCAAATCTCGTGGCATATACCCCAAGGACGAAATATCCCTCCGTTTGCAGCCTATCAGATGAATTCCACGTGGAAAGTCCGAAGAGCTGAAGCTTGAGAGAGAGAGGTAAGTTGTTGATATTCTTTTCCCCTCCCCTCCCACCATATCGGTTATATGTCAAGCCACCATTCCCATCAGATTGGCCATTTGCGGCCGCTATTTCAGCTCAAGCTCTTTATCGAATCAGCATCCCATCCATCCATTCCCCTTTGCATCCTGTCTGGTATTTTCGCTACCGATTGAACGGGAAAGCCTGTGCCTCCTTCCTTCAGGCATGTGTCTCGCCTCATCTCCCATCCAAAAAAAAAAAATCCGTTTTTTTACCTTTCCGTTTTGTTTGTTTTGTTGGTTGGAATGATATTATGACCGTTCCTGATCATTTCAACAAAAAAAAAGAAGAAGAGGAGGAGGTAAGTACTTAGGTAGCTACCTTGCTATGCGGAGTACTCCGCCGATGAATGTTTATAAAAAGAATTTAGTAGCATAATAACTGCTAATTTTGATTGATTAGCTCGATTTCTTTCGGTTTATAGAAAGGGAACACGAGCATTCTTGATTCCTCGTTAGCTAGCGACCGCTGCTTTAGTCATCGCATGGTGTAACTGAGACAAAACTGCCTTTCTTTCATTCTTTTTTTTCCCCTCTGTCAATCGGTGTTTGGCGACGTTAGAAAATTATTAAAAAAATAAAAAAAACTGGGATCGAAGATGTCGTAAAAGCCACTAGTATCACACGATGTCAAATGATCTCCGGAGGAATATGCCATCTTTAATATCGTCATAAGACCATTTTCTTCTACATTAGTTTCCAGAAAAGAAGCCCCAAAAATGCCTCTCTCTCTCTCTCTCTCTCTCTCCGTACATACAAAGAAAAGAAAGAAAGAAAGAAAGAACTTGTTCCTCGTCTACATATGAGCTTATTTAGTCTACTGTATCCGGTTACACTAGTTAGTAGAACCGGTTCTACCATTTTCCTTCACGACGGGCGGGGGAGGGAAGCACAGACCAGAGATGGGTACCGTCGGTCGTTCACAAGCTCGCGGACTAAGAAAGTCTATATCAATAGTACTTCTTTTTGTTACCATGTGGTCAAAAAAGAGCTCATGAGCTCCATATCTTTTTTGTCTCTTTTAAATTTCTTGTACTACAAGTTTTTGGGGAAATCTCATATACTCAGAAATTCCGAGTATCCGAGTTTGACAAGAGTTAAAAAAAAAAGATATGGGTAGTTGCTTGACAAAAGGTACTATGAGCATCTACCCGAACGAAAAGGATCTATGGAAATGGTAGGAGGGAATGTTATACAAAGTATACGAAAGATCCTAGCATCAGTTCCATCG